TTAAAAAACATGCTTCAAATCGCTTTAAACTATTGTCATTGTAGTGCGTATTTAATGTGCCGCTGCACTCTGATATTGTAGGAGAAAACCTATTTAATTAAGTAGAACGTGTTGTCTATATTTATTTAAAGTTGCGCATTTTGATGTGACGTCCCCCAAAGGTGTTTGTTTCTGAGTTATTTTGAACTCCATTCAGCGTAGTTCTTTTGAACCTTCCTGGGTAAACGCGCAGAATAATACAAATACAGACACGTGTATGCCCTGATTAAGAGTACAGTACATGGCAAACACGCTCAGAGGCAGTGGCTTCCTGTTCAAATGGGCATGGGACAGTATCTCTCGTTTAGGGCTTGATTGAGTCAGTGGTGGAAATTCCGCTTTCGAGATGGACTATCCGATTATATTAAAATAATTTGAATAACGGTCCGATTACTAGATTACAGTAATCGCACAAGCTTGACAATAGCTGGAGGAAGAAAAAGAAGTTGGACGGGAGATGTTCGCTTGGTGATGCCAAGGAGCCTGAGTACTGACCACAACTCAATTAGATTCATTATAATTTCGATTCCATAAATCAACTTAACCGAATAATCGTCTCATCGTCTCAGTTGTTTCTGAACTTTTCTATCGATGAGATGACTCGACCCAAAGCACAACCCACACATGACGTGTATACAAGTGGATAACCGAATATAAGGGGCTGTTACCATCACCTTAATATTTCAGAGCCCCTATCAATGGTTTTCATGTTACGGCAATATACACGTTGCACTATAAGTATGATTACAGTACTGTACTTTGCATATAATCAATCGTCTTACCATTGACTCCATTTCCAAAACTCATTCCAATGTTTTAATGGTCAAAACCACTATTGGCCATTATCATCACCACGACCACCAACAAACGCCGTTCGCCACTCAGTGCCAGTCGCGTCACCACGTGCCATGTGCCAGGCCTAGGTGCACCTTGAAGCCACATGATGTGTCGAAGGCTTGCTGGCAGGAGGTCACGGGACAGAACTAGGTGTTGTGGGTTGACTGGCTACACCACGAAAGCATAAATGCACCATCATTGCAACGTCCAATTTCGCCACGACCATAATAAGTCACCAACCATCATCATCATCACAAACATGAACACGTTTTCACATGTGTCAGTGTGAGTTGATGAAGGCGGAGAGAATAGTGCAAGAATACATTTCACTGCACTGCCCTCTGCTGACAAGGTAGCCCCACATCACAAACATCGCCAGCATACGTATCACCATCACAACGATAATTGTTATCATCACACCAAAATCATATTCTTCACCACCATAATTACCAATGTCGTATTTCCACCAATTATAGTGTTAACATCACAATTACCACTTTCACCACAATTGCAAAAACCACATTTGTCATCAACATCACGAGGGAATTGGCTCTGGATTGTACGTACAGTATGTATGTTGAACTTTTTTTCGCGCAATACATAGCTAACCGTGCAAATAGGATTAAGCAACTGGTTCAATCTCTTGCAACAGGACCTGTTTTTTTCTTTGGAATCTGTTCTGTAAGAGTTATTTTTGACTTTGTAATCCGTCGCCGATTGCATAAAAATACATTTTCTGTAAAACATCTCCTTGCATTCAGATTGATTTGGATCAGAAATGAAAGGCAATGTTCACCAAAACGGATTTATCCAACTAACCCCTGATTCTAGCCGAGGCTCATCTTCAACACTGTCGAGGGGGAAAGGAAAACACATTCCTGCGGAGGGAGCTGGTAGGAACGTTGGGTTGCTCGGTCAATGGCCAGGGTCAACGGCCAGGCGTGGTGTATTCCGCAAATATGGCCGACTGTGAGGGCGGGCACAAGCCGGCGTGAGTAGGTGAAACGTTGAGTTTTATAAGGACACCACGGGGTGACCAGCCCCTGCTCTTTCCACCCAGTCCCACCCCTCCCACCCCCCACCCAGCTCCACCCTCCCCACCCAGCCCCTCTCCACCCAGCCCCACCCTTTCCACCCAGCCCCTCCCACCCTCCCACCCTCCCCACCCAGCCCCTCCCCACCCTCCCCACCCAGCCCCTCCCCACCCTCCCTCCCCACCCAGCCCCTCCCCACCCTCCCCTCCCCACCCAGTCCCACCCCTCTCACCCCCCACCCAGCCCCACCCTCCCCACCCAGCCCCTCCCCACCCTCCCTCCCCACCCAGCCCCTCCCCACCCTCCCCACCCAGCCCCACCCTCCCAACCCAGCCCCTCCCCACCCTCCCCACTCAGCCCCACCCTCCCCACCCAGCCCCTCCCCACCCTCCCCATCCAGCCCCTCCTCACCCTCCCCACCCAGCCCCTCCCCACCCAGCCCCACCCTCCCCACCCTCCCCTCCCCACCCAGCCCCTCCATCCCCACCCAGCCCCTCCCTGCACGACGGACGGACGGACACAATAATCCCCTGTGGGCTGGTGTAACCAGGAGGTTCCTACCAGTATAACTCTATCGCTGTGCCAGTCTCTCACATCCATCTACTTGGGTCGAGACAGCTGTTCACTGACAATGCTGCCACTGTCTGACCGAAACGTTCATAATCCTACTCCTTACCTCACTACTTCCCCATTCGCTTTATTAATTTGAATTTTTACAAGTTATCTCTCGAACATCATCGGGGTGTTTTTTTGTACAACACACTTGAGATGTGTGACGTACCAAATGACAATCAATGACAGTGGTATTACCAAATGTCTACGTTAAAGTGTATTTAATTTAGTATTTGCAAACATTTAAGCTCCAAGGTATGTTGCTTTTTATGATCTAATTCGGGTTTTTAAATGTCCCACAAAACATTTTACAGGTAATACTCTACCTGAGCATTGAACAAATTGTTTTTTTATATTGTATGCACAAGTCAAAACTATGTGGTGAAATATAATTGCATGGAGGGTATTTTACTCGTAAACAAATAGTACTGCCGACTGTAGACGATGGGATACACTGTCATTAATAAACCGTGATTAGCAAATCTGGAATTTTGGGTGAGTGGTGGTGCAAAATTCCACGTTTACTGGATCGTGGGCAGCACGTGACGATGACACTCAGTGGAACCTTGTTAGACATTCACCACTCACACCACAGTCGATCTAAAAATGGATTCGTTTTAACGTCGTAGTAGAAATTGAGCGGCTGGTGGGAGTTCAAACGACTATGCTTATACGCGATTTGATTTTACACGTGGTGCTACCCGGGCAGCAATGGACGAGTTTGTGGTGTGTGTGTGTAAGACGTTGAGTGTAAATGCAGTCACGAAACATTCTTAAGCCGCACGTGTTGGCTTCGCTCGTGGCCTGTTTTACCTCCCGTTGGTGGATCGCACAAAATGTCGCGAAACTCCCTGCCCGAGGTCGCTTGTAATTCGCCCTGGAATGCTACAAGTCGTCAGGGGCCGTCCATAAATGACGTCACGCGATTTTTGACGATTTTTGACCCCCCCCCTCGTCACATGGCGTCACAAAAAGCCAGACCCCCCCCCCTCAAATATGACGTCACAAAGCTCTGCCCCCCCCCCCCCAAAAATAAAACATGCTTCAAATCGCTTTAAACTATTGTCATTGTAGTGCGTATTTAATGTGGCGCTGCACTCTGATGTTGTAGGAGAAAATGTATTAAAAAGTCTATTTAATAAGTAGAACGTGTTGTCTATATTTATTTAAAGTTGCGCATTTTGATGTGACGTCACATTTCTCAACCCCCCCCCCCCCCCACGTCGTCACACATCGTCACAAATGTCTGACCCCCCCCCCCCAGGTGCGTGACGTCATTTATGGACGGCCCCTTAGTACAGCTAAAACAACGCGGACTTTCCCCTGTATCCGTCTGCGCGGGATAGATTGGCGTTGTCTCCCTGGCACCGCCTGGGTTTTCTCTCCTCCGAGTGCTCAAACATCTCCTCTCACGTGCACAAACACGCATTCATTGGCCGGTGAACAACTTTATGCTTGTAGGACCGCAGAGCTAGCAGTCTCCTCCTCCTCTCTCAATCTCTGTTCGAGAGAAAGAATAGTGGGGAGGCGGCTGCTTTACAAGTGGACATCATTTGTTAGCATCGTTGTCGTCTGTCAGAATTTGTGTTGTAGTACGGAGTTAGACTCATGGCTTTAATCTAAGTTGTCTTGTGGTTGTTGTTGTTGTTTGACTTGCATCCCACTGGGATTTTTGCACAGCGTTGGTGTACGGTGTTTTTTTCTGTAAGATTTTGCAGTTTTTTCCTGGATTTTTCTGTTTGCACAGGGTCACTTTAAGATGTTTTCTTGTTCATGTTTTTGTTTTTTGTTCGTTGCGGTTGCACCCGATTCAAGAGCCGAATGGCTCACAGGGCTATACCTAATAAATGCAACTAAAAAAACTGTGTCCATCTTAAATACATATCAATGTAAACGTGACAACCGTATCGGGTGATTGGAGGTTACAGCATAGCAACGATACCGCTTTTTTTTCATCCCCGGAATAAAAACCAACAACATAACCAACCCCGAAATAATAAAAAATAAAACCACCCTCACCCACCACCATGTTAGTATCAACCCAAACACAACGTTTTTTTTTATATCTTAATTTTGGAGCTTTCGTGACTGCACAGAAACGACCCCTCTCTTTGTGCCGATATGTGTCCTCTCTCTGTGTGTCCTTGTGATGTCTGTCTGCTTGTATGTCTGTCTATAGTTTTCTAGTTAGATTTTTGTTGCTATTTCTTTCATGCCTGATGATGATTGCTTGTGTTGCAATCGAAACGTCGTAATATGCTATTATTTTAATTTATTATTTCATCTTTAGACGTGACTCAACCGAAAGAACCAAAGAATACGTTTTTTCAAATATTTATACAGCTGCCGCCACTCCACGCAGGCACCTTGGGCTTGTGCTGGCAGCGCCACGGCCACCTAAGAGGAGGCGAAGTCGTGGGGGGCGGGGTGAAGGGGGGTGAAGGGGGGCGGGGTGAATGGGGGGGGGGGAGGGGGTTGGGGTCCTGAGCCTCCCGCCCACAGGCAGCAGCAGCAGCAGCGAGCGCCGCTCTCCGCCGTCGTCACCGACACCGTTCACATGTCGACCGCGGCGAGGAAGCGCTCCCGTGAGTAGCCCACCCACCACCACGGGCAGCTAGCGTCTCCCAACACCACCCACTCACCCCCTTAACACACCCAGCCAACACCACCGCTCTGCCCGAGTTTTGACGGTGTGTGGTGGTGGGGGGGGGACGCGGCCTGGTCGCGAAGGCTTCGACCTCGTTTCCTTGATGCTCTAACATGGCGGACCCGTGTGTGTGTTTGTGTCTTTTTTTTTCTCCCTCCACACCGTCTCGGCTCCGGGCCTCTCAAGCCGCCGTGTAGTCGGGCACGGCTCGTTCGCGCCGGGATTTTTGTGTTGCCGACGAATGCTCTCGATGTTGTTTGCGCGGGTTGTGTGACACCTATCACGGTTGTACCCCCCCCCCCATCACCACCCACACCATCACCACCACTGCCGACTACTACACATCCACCGGCGGTCATTCGCTCCCGTTCCTTTCCATCACAATAGACCGCCTGATTGCTCCCCACCCGTTTCGTGCTCTCGCCGCGAGTTTAAGGTAGTTCGTGGTTGGTGGTGGTGGTGGGGTGCGGGGCAGCAGGCAAGGGAGAAAAGGAGGCGTTTTGAGTGGCGATGTTATCGGTAACGTGGGTGAGTTTGTCTGAATGCGTCGTTTAGGTGGTGTGTGCATGTCCGGGAGGGCCTCGGTTGAGTCTGCTGCGAGGAAGTCGGTCCTGCGTTGCTATGTTTGGTCAATCCGTGTTTCATTATTGGACATCTTAGTATCCGTAGAAAGCCCGCCGACACACAGGACCCCGGGGGTGGCACTCAAATGTCCGTACAGACGGGTGCATTAACCCATTTGCCGTATTGCAATGCCCTGACCAGCTTGCAACTCTGGGGAGTTTTTAATATTGCGTGATCCATAAACTATTGCCGCCAAAAGGCTGGAGTTTACTCGTGTTTGCTGTTGTGTACGAGTGTAGGTCATATAATTCGTTGTGATAAAAGCATAAAACTTGTTTTATTCAAGTAGCAATTTTCGTCTGCCGATGACTGCCTCTTTTACAATTGAATGTCTTCAGTCTCGCTTTTACCACTGTCATTGAATTTCGCCCTATTGTCTTGTAATTATTTTCCTATCCGCTTTGAAATGAATGTCACTGAAAAAGGCTACCCTATTTAAACAGCGCCTTCAAGAGAAGTTATGTAGTTGCTATATGAATCCAAGTTGTATTCAGATTAACATTGCACTGCTCGTTTTTTGTGGCTTTACAGGAAAGAGCGGGTATGTGGAAGGGACGTTTGTGTGAATGACCCTTTCAAGCAAAGAAAGGTCATCGCTTGAAGGATTAATCAACTGTGTATATATTTTTATAATATTAAACACTGCTAATGATTGTGATAGTATGGTTTGTATTTCTACAATACTCCAAATGTAGACAATTGTATTTTAAAGTCTAAAGTTCTTGCTTCATTAAACTTGTACTATAAGTATGCGGACGGAAATGTACATTTCTTTGAGACCAGGAAAGTGCCCTGGAAAGTAATTAGGCAATTGTTATGTTTATTGGCCAGTGTGTCATGTTCACTTGCGTGAGCCTCTTGTGTGTGTGCGTGTGTGTTCCCACTGTGCTATTTGTTTTTTTGCTCGCAGCTCGGAACCGACCTGGGAGCGACAGTGTCGCTGTCGTCGCCGCCGCTGCCATGAAGCGCGGAAACCCTGATCGGGGAGGGTCCCCGTTGAAGGGCAGCAAGAGGCCCCGAGGCTTCAGCGACGACCGTGAGGGCAGAGGAGGGGCAGGGACGGGTGGGGGCCCCGGCCACAGGGGGTCATCCGGCGGTGGTGGCGGGGGCCCTGGGTTGCTGGAACGCGGCCGCAGGTCGAGTGCCGAGCGTGGAGGAGACAAGGGCCCCCGCCGTGACGACAGAGATTATGCTTCCTCCGCCCTCGCCGGGGTTCGCACAAAAAGAGGTGATGGTGGCGGTGGCGGCGGTGGTGGTGGTGGTGGTAACGCAGGTGGTGGTGGTGGTGGTGGGGGTAGCAGTGGCCGGCCCTCGGCTCCCACTGCGGAGTACAAAACGCTGCTTATCAGCAACTTGGGTTCTCAGCTGTCAGACGAGGAGATCGAGGATGGCCTCTTCCGCGAGTTCAAGAAGTTTGGTGATGTGAGCGTCAAGATCACGTTAACACCGGCCGAGGGCAGGGTCGCCTATGTGAACTTCCGGCGTGCGGACGACGCCCGGGACGCCCGGCATGCCAAGGGCCGCCTGGTGCTCTACGATCGCCTGCTCAAGATTGAGGCCGTGTACCTCCACCACCAGCCACAGCAGCAGCCGCAGCAGCACCACCATCACCACCACCACCGGCGGCGCAGCCCGTCGCCTCCGCCCACTGACTACGGGCCCTATGGGGCCCCGGGTGCGTATCCTTACAGCATGCCGCCCCCGCCGCCGCCACCACCACCCCCGCCCAGGGGTCTGTCCCCCAGCCCGGGGGCACGTGGCATGCGTGAGCCGAGACCCCGGCGTGCCAGCCTTGGGAGGGAGGAGCCACTGGCACGTGACAGGGGAGGAGGTGATTGGGGAGGGGAGTACGGGACGTACGAGAGCAGGATGAGGGGGGGCAGTGGTGTGTACCCGCCAAATAGCGGACGTGGCGCGCTGCGGGACGATGACGACCTGCACATACTGCCTGAGGATGACCAGAGGGCGACTCGCACGCTGTTCATAGGCAACCTGGACACGGAGGTCACCGGCGCGGATTTGAAACGAATTTTTGAGCGCTTTGGCGTGGTGGAGGAGGTGGACATAAAGCGCAACATAAGGGGCCACTCGTACGGGTTCGTCAAGTTCCAAAACCTGGATATGGCGCACAGGGCCAAGGTGGCTATGTCGCACAAAGTGATTGGCAGGAGTCAGGTAAAAATCGGTTATGGTAAGGCTACGTGCACCACTCGCTTGTGGGTGGGTGGATTGGGCCCTTGGATCCACGTGGGGGCCCTGGCCAGGGAGTTTGACCGTTTTGGCACCATTCGTTCGATAGACTACAGGAAGGGCGACAACTTTGCTTACATTCAGTACGAAAGTCTCGACGCTGCCATGGCCGCCTGGGCACAGATGCGTGGGTTTCACATGCCGGGCTCTGATCGCCGGCTGCGCCTAGATTTCGCCGACATGGAAGGGCAGATTCGCTACCCCGACCCGCAGATACACCCTTACCAGCCGCCCATTGACGCCATGCCGGACGGCTACACGAGCCACTTTGATAACAGGGGCCGAGACCGAACTAGTCCTTTGATGGCAGGCCCACACTACAGAGGAGGAGACCGTGGCTGGAACCACCAGGATGGAAATTGGGGGAGCCCCAACAAGGCCGGAGGGGGCAGAGGAGGAGGAGGAGGAGCAACCTTCGATGTGTATCCTCAAGCCGATCGCGGCCGACACAGAGATAGCTGGCCGCCGAATGAACGGATGCGCGAGTTCGGTGGCGTTCCTGGCTGGGAGGACAGGCGCCGCCGCAGGACACCACCACCCATACCGCCCGATGGCTACGGCCATCGTGACCGCTCTCCATTTGAAGAAAGGAACCGCGGCAGGCGCCGTTACGGCTCGTTGGATCGCGGCAGGGATGGCGGTGGGCCCAGTAGTGATTCTGAACGTCTGGCAGGTCCTGATGGTGTCCGCGGGCCTGTTGAAGACAAGCAGCGAGAACCAAACGGATGTGAAAGCGGCAGAAATGCTTCCCAAAATGTTGAGCGCTCCCGCAGAACTAGTGATAGTGAGCACGAGGGCAGGAATAGAGTGGATAATTCCTTAAGAACAGAGAGTGGGAAGACCCCTCAGGTGCTGTCTGAATATGCTCAGATTCTGAACCTTGCTTGGCAGGGTGTACTCGTCCTTAAAAACAGCTCGTTCCCAACGAGCATGTACCTTGTCGATGGCGACTTGATCCTTGCGCGAGGCCTGCTGCAAGACAGCTCGTCTGGAGCACCAGCGACGCAGTTAAAGATCACGCAACGCTTGCGTCTGGATCAGCCGAAACTTGATGAGGTGACTCGACGTGTTAAACAGGCGGGGCCTGACGGCCACTGCGTCCTCCTCGCTTTGCCCTCCCGTCCAAACTCGAACGAGGAGGCGAACAAATCGGGCGACCCGAGGCCGCTGCGCAACCTGGTGTCGTACTTGAAGCATAAGCAGGCGGCGGGAGTCATCAGCTTACCCATTGGTGGAGGCGGAAGCAAGGAGAAGGAGTCTGTTGGCGTGCTACATACTTTCCCGCCGTGCGAATTCTCCCAGCAGTACCTTCAAGAGCCCGCCAGGACGTTGGCCAAAACGGACGAGGACCATCTCATAGTCGTCATCGTTCGGGGAACCGCTTAAAGCAACAGAAATAGAAAAACAGCAGAAAAAGGCCAACGTCGAAATCTTATTTTTCCACATCATGACAATTTGTTATGCATTCAAATCCAGTTGTCTAAAGAAAATACTCCCACAAAAAATATTAAACAGAAAAAATGCCTGTCTGCATATCAGTGGAAATTGATTATTGTTTCTGAATGTCTAAATTTTGGCTACAAGGCTTTTTTTTTAACTCTGCAAACATTCAGTTCCGATAAAACAAAAGTTGTTAAAGCTTGTATGTTGTAAGTGTCAAAAGGTGTGCTTCTATTTAGTCGTATTTGTTTATTCGCTGATATACAGAATTCTGAAAATATGACGGGCAACTTTGAAGCATTCTTGGTTGCATGTATTCTGTTAAATATTGTCCACAATTGTAAAATGGTAGTTAAAAAAGTATGGTGTACAAACATTGTGCAGTTGTTAATGTTATCCATTTTGGGCACTGAATAACTTTAAAGAGGAAATTGTGTTAATGTAATATTGGCACACCTATGCTATATTAATCCAGATAGGGTCATGAAATTCCTTAACATTTTGCTAATTATTTCTAAATGATAACTCATTTAGTTTTATGTATACAAATAATATTGTGGGTAGATACTGTTCTATAGTGCCTCCGTGAAAGCTCAACAGTGGATTTGCTTACCTTTAAGAATTTGAAGCCAAGTTCGATACCATTTGCAAGAATTTTGTTTACTGAAATTTTGAATCTTCACAAGCAACCAATCGACGCCACAAAGTTCTGCTCTGTCCCATCAACATGCTTCAGTTTGTTTCTGCAACACTCTACGCCAGTGAAAGTAATGCCTGTTTGTAGTCCTGCCCTCCTGCTCTTCTGCTTGCCCACAACACCAAAAAGCATAGAAACCTATGGCTCAAAGAAGTGAAACTTGCCTTCATGAAGAAAGAAAAGTGCACGTGAAATTCAAGTGAAATAAAGTTATATTTCATTCCTTCCCCAAGTGTTCCAACATGCCACCTGTAGTTCTTCAAAAGTGAAATGCGTTCTCCCAGAAAGCCTGCGCCACTCCGTATTGCTGTGATTATTGATGAACTGTTCTACTGCCAACAACCTGTGCTTGCCACAAGGAGCAAAGCTGCATCTTGATGCAACGAGGATGACCCCACCCAAACCCAATCAGCGGTGCCCCAGAGAGCAAGGTGGTGCATCCATGCGACTCGCACCCAGCAGCAGACCGTGCCAGCGTCGCCTTGAGATGCCGCCGTTGGATGCCGGGAGTGTCGGAGACGTCCGGAGTGGGTGACCGGCAGTCAACACATCCAGCCACACAGGTGGGATTTGTCGGTATTTATTGTGCTTGCAGCTGTTGTACTTGCGCAGAGTGTACAGTAAAACCGGGCCACTGCTACATTGCACCCACACTTTTAAATTTTACTTAAAAGGGTTTTTTCTCATTTTTAAGTTGGCACTTAGTGCATTTGTGACTGCTAAATGTCAGGTCGCTACCAATGCAATTACCATCGCAAACCTTGCATACTTTTCACCGAAACGATTTAACCTAACACCCACCACATTGGCTTGATTGACTCTCTCTGGGCTAATTTAAATTTAATGCATGACTTTTCAGAATCTTTCATTGCAGAGAAATCTAGATGCTGGAAACTTGGAAGTGTGGGCCAGCTTAACTTGGGGGCTGCAATGCCACACAGCCTGGTAGTTGATTTGGCATCAATGCCAGAATGAGCAAAGATCCAGTGCCCCTCTTTTTCTGAGAGCTGTTGTGGTAGTTGCCTGCAATTTGAAACGAGGTGCCCCGGTGAGTTGCCAGATGGATGCTGCTCGCATAAGAGTTGTCGCGGAGGATTACAATGCGTTGAATAATGGGTGCATAAACGTTTGTTTTTTGTTGACAGGCCCGCACATGTTCCAGTAATAGTGCTTAAAAGCATCAGGTTACATTAAAAGTGTTGTATGAGTTAAAGAGTTATGTCGGTTACTGTGATAAACACTTACACTGGTCAACACACTTTTTCTGGCATAAGGTATTCCAACGGTTTTAAGGTAATTTTGGGATGCTGATTCCAAATCTGGCATCAGTTTTTGTCTTATCACATCAGGTTTTTGAGATATCAAATATTGCATTTTCAATAAAAACTGCAGAAGAAAAATATTAAATAAATGTGGATATCTACATAAAATTCTATTATAAACACACTATCCTAAAAATACAGCACCATATTTTAACACTAAAGCAGTCACTGACTCGCAACTACTTGCAATTAAGTGACAGAGTTAATTTTGGGTAAAATCAATGAAAATGGAGTATGCCGATAGCATATAAATGAGATGTGATAGAGCAAATCTGAGATCAGATTTGGAATCAGCACCCTGAAATTGGTCTAGAACAGCTGCAAAAGTCCAGGCCAGAAAAAAAAAATTTTGTTGACCAGTGTGATAACTTTCGATTTAAAGCTTTCGTGACTGCAGGGATTAATCTTCTTGGTTCTTTCGGTAAAGTCACGTAGAAGGGAAATAATAAAATAATAAAAATTAAACATAAAATAATTCTCACGACGTTTTGGCCACAACGCAAGCAGCCGTCCTCAGGTGAAGAACAGGTCTGTCGGAAAGACAGTGTCTGTTGCCAGTGTTATAACATCAAGAACATTGCAAATGAAAGTTTACTGAAATTAAATCTTGAGGGTGCACCCTGTCTGATTCGATATTTCCTCACGTGTTGCCTTTCATTGCAGGGCTGTCGCCGACGCTCACCCCGAGGCATCTCCCCGCAAGCGGCAAAGTGTGTCTGCGTCCACCGCAGCTTGCCAGCACCAACAGTTCCGCCGGCGAGCATCGAGTCGACGGGCGAACAGCTGATCCCAACGCACGGCTTCTCCGAGGCCCCCTCCTGCTGCTTTGCGCAAGAATTTCCTGCACCTCCGCTGCATGTGATACCACTTTGTTAGTCCAGTGTGAAGAGACCAAGCACGCGTGCAGCGACAGATTTCGAGTTTTGCTTGTTCCGCGTTGGAGTGATCTGCAGCGATTTTTGAATACAGCCTTCTACCAGGCTCTCTCCGCTCTAGATGGCTGTGCGGAAAAGTTTGTAAGCCTTGTCCAGTCAGCTGTGCACAGAAGTTGGTAGTAGAATCAAGTTCATCAAGAGGTACATCTTATTTGTTCTTACGCTTAAGGCGTCTAATTCATAATAATTTGCATGCGCAATATAAATATTGGTCACTACAGCTTAAATTCTGCTTCATTCAGTTGCATTATTTTTTTTTTATTCCTTTTTCAATCAGTTTATTGCACCTGCTGGGAAATACTAGCTCAAGGTGGAATGAAACATACACATTTAAAATTTTTTATTTTGTTAACAATTTAAAAAACACTGCAGTTGTGTTAGCCTGTTGAAAACCGCATTCACCATAAACTGCACGGAGGGACGAAGGGAAATTTTGCGAAATTTGCATTCTGTTTGCTCAACTCCAAAGACTTCACGTTGATGTAAATCGAAACAACTGCTCGACCATTGATGGCACTTGTGTGGTGGGGGTTCTGTTGGCCAGCAACAAGGTTTGTGTGTGTGGGTGGAGGGGGGGGCAAAAAAACCCATCCTTTTGTTCCAGCTTCCATCTCAGGTGAAACATTCCTGGAGCCAAGGTTCACGTGTGGCAAAAAAAAAAAGTGAAAAATCCAGCACGTGGATGTAGAGAGAAGTGTTTCATCGTTGATGGAGAGGAGATTTAAAGAGGGGCACGGCCGCTTTGCAGGTCTCATGTTTGGCCAGTTTGCCCTCCCCGTGTCCTTTTGCCCCAAACAACAAAAAGCTGATGTGCGGTCACACTCCTCGCCTGGGATGTCGCGAGCGCTGGCCGCTGTTGAAAACAATAACAAAAAAAACTTAACGATGCGAAATTGGGCCCGCTGGGGCCTACTTTTAGACTGAGAACAACCAGGAAATACTGCCGTGCCCACCCAAGATTTTCAACGCGTTCATTGAACTAATTCTCGTGAAGCCAAGGGTCAGGTTTTGACAAAGGATGATTTTATTCACAAATTTGCTGTGATGTCAACAGCAAAGCAGAAGGGCAGGTGTCTTGATAAAAAAAGTAGTTTTTTGATTTGTAGTGATGTTTTTTGGTACCTATGTCTTCATATTTACATACTTTTTTTTAATTGTACTTGATATAGATTAAAGACTTATAAACATTTTAGTGATCACGTCTAAGAACATGAACGGTTGTGGGTTTTCTTTAGCCCATTTTTGGCAAGTTTTCCACTTGTACAAAGTAAGCGACACCTTAATCTTTTCTCAAGTTCGAAGAACGAAACTCAAAGGTTCTATGGAATGACCTCGCGCCCCATCTACAAAAACCGATGGAATTTGTGCAACATTTCGAAGACATTGATTTTGCAGCCATAAACTGAGCGTTTATGATTTTTCAAACTATTTCCTCTTCAAAGTTGCAAAGTGTTGATGCTTCTGACGATAGTTGATACCGGACGTTGAAACAGATATGGAACCGTTTATGGCTTGAGGCTGTAGTTATTAAAGCCTGATGTTGTCTAGTGGTTTTGATGCATTTGTACTGCTTGATTTTAGCCCCAGTGTTTAGAATCCTCTGTAATAATGTGTGGTTTTCTTTGTTGCTGTACAGTTAAATGCAACTATCAGATGAATATTAACTCACAGATTGAAAAGATTTCATCTTAGTATACAAACCGAAATAAAGATCATGCAGGCAGGAATTCTGGAGTGATGAATGGTTGAATTATTGTACACATGTAAAATGCACCTTATGGCTTCAGTGTCACAAATCACTTAGCGCTCACATTGTCACTTCTCCTTTTGTGTGGCATTTGAGAAAAGTCTGCAATTGTATTTTAATGTAAGCCATTCTGCAACATCCATGATAGCTGAGTCGAGTACGCTTGTTCCACTAAAATTTCCGCGTCGTTTTGGGCAGTCATCAATGATGTACGCCTGATGAGTTGCACCTTAATGCATTCGCAAAATTGGCAAAGCCCTGATCTTCCATTTATGGAGGAAATATCCACCTTCCATGTGTGGGTCACTGACTTGTTCCTGTCAACTTTTGGACAGTTAAATTTCAAACTGGGGATGGAACAATACATTGATGGAATTGATTAATATTGATTATGCTTACGATACATGCATTCATTGTGTAAAAATCGGTGTGGTTTTATGTTTTAAATACTAGGTTCATGTCACCCATGCAGCCATTAGAGGCGCGAGCACTGCAGTGAATGCAAATATTGCATGGAATCGCCACCCACAGTTTTGACTTGTATCAATTTCCCGCGTGGTTAATTTCTGCACCACTAACATTGAATAAATAAACAAATCTTAAGTTGTACATTGTCCGTACACCTTTTCACATGCGGGCAAGGCAACATTTAAATATTGGGCTTTCTAAAAAAATAAGATTCCACTGACAATACAGGATATAAACCTTGCACTGCCCATGACGACCTGGTAGACTTCCCTCAACTGAACCCCAGTGACATTTGTCACATTTTCGTGTATTTCGCCTGAAGCTAAATTGACTGGTAAATTAAATTTTAGATTCATTAATGGAGCTGCCCTTTCACACCCTGGTCATGTGGTAATTTCGAATGAACAAAGTTCAGGCTCGCCGAAATCCTACAGCCGAAACAGCATCGTTCGACATGATCCCCATCCACTGCTGGATGAAATCCCCAAACCGTCGCAAGAAGCTACCAAACAAGATTGAATAATATAACGACGACATCACACGACAAATGTAGACTTAGTACCATGATGTATTTTTTAAAGTGAAATTCGCAAAGCGATTGTTAATGTAGGTATCCTTCCAAGCTACACTTTAATACCATGAACCCTGAATAAATTATTGTATTTACACAAGCCATTAAGTCGAACGCTCAAGTGTTATATCGTCAATGGTTAACTTTGTTTTTCATATTCACGTGCGTTGCTGCGGGGTCACGGGTTGCACTTGTGGACGCCCGTGGGAGTGGGGATGTTCCTTGCATGAAGTCCACTCGATGATGGGCGCCCAGTGGCCGTCACATCCCAGGTGAAGCCAGATTGTCAGCATTCGGTCCTCCCGGTTACCTGTTAAAGTATTCGTCGGAACACGTGGACGGACCAATTGCTGCCCCACTGAGTCTGCAGTGGTTGGCGGCGGTCAGCATCGTAGCGTTGGTGGGCCGACGGGAGGCAGTCTCCCCCTTCTGGTTGTTCAGCCGCCCCCTCCAAAAGAAAAAAACCCAATTATTATATCTTATATCCCAGTGCAAAGTATTGGTATAATATTTGTACGATGGTGGTATGTTTTTTTTTTGCATTTGGACGCCACCGCCGTTCCTCGTTATAATTAGCAGCAAGTGAGAGAGAGTGTAGAATGCACGATAAACCAAAGTGGATCGTATCGTTAAATCACTCCCGACTTAAACGACATTCACATTTGTTAAGCTTGTTTAACATTGACTGTGTTGTGCTGATTCCACCCCCCTCTCTTCCCCACCACCTCCAGTGTCTGTGTACCCCCCCCCCCCACCCCATTTACACAACAATGTATATCTCTACAAAGCTGGTTTCAACTTCCTTAAACTGACCTCCCCGCGTTTTGTTAATGTGTTTTTGTGAACAAAAAAAAAACAACGTTGCAGCTTTCGGGAACTCGAGCATTATTTCACAACCTCTTTCCAGGGACTTCCTCGTCGCCTTGAGAAAAACGAACGCCATGAAACCCGCGTGGCGAGCTTTTAACACGTTGCACACGTGCCGCGGACCTGAATGCTAATCCACTGCTGGATGACTTGGTAAAAGTGGGGGGGGGGGGGGGCATAGACGTTGTTGGAGTATCGTACAACAATGGATTGCGTTGAACTTTTTTTTGTTCTGCTAGTTTAACACGTAGGCTTTCGCGACCAATGTTAGACATAATAAAGGGTTTTTTGGGGCGAGGGTTACATCACGTACATGTGTCGTTAAACCCCGCCACCACCTGACAGCCAGTAAGCTTTGTCAGCTAAACAAAACGTAACAATCACTTCACCAGCACACACACGGTGTGTGTTGGAGCAGTAAAACCCACAACAATTTACAATTCGAGTACGTTTCGCTGGCGATTACAACAACAGCCACCACCACTAGCTTCGTCGGGCGACAGCCAGATTTGTGAAGGAAGTCTTCCTGTCACCCACCGTCTTTGTGCTCACGGCAGCCCCGCATCTGTTTCGTACGAGACCGTGGGCACAAATGCAAGAAGCTATCCAAAGGGCAAACCTGCTCAGCTTCTTGACGATCGGACGGATTGGGGCACTTTCAGGATGGATGATTTGGTCATCATTAAGCCGATGAGATAATAAAAACAGTCTTTACCTTTTTCTGCCAATAAAACAGGGGGCGTTCAGATGTTCACACGACTTTTGCAAAGGATCAAGTTTGCATTAACCACGCATGTGGCACAATAATCAAACAAACATGGATTGTCTTTGAAACCGATTGTCCTGCACCAGAGACAGCCTTCTTGAGAACGGGTTAAAGCCTATCTTGATTTGAAGCTTTCGTGACTGCAGGAAATCCATACCCTTTGGTTCTTTCGGTAAAGTCACGTAGGTATAAAATAAATCACGACGTTTCGGGCGCAACACAAGCGTCCGTCATCAGGTGGGAAAGCATGGTTTGCTGCCGAGGCAGACTGTTTTAAAAAGCCGACTTTTGTGCTAATTTTTAAATCCTTTATATTAAGTTCGCTTGCTTGCGTGCTTGCTTGCTTAGGACCGTGCAAATCTTTCGGTCGTTTTTTAACCCACTTCCCGTGATCCAATCGAGCTGACATTTTGCACACAGACTCGTTGTGCGTGACAATTAATTTTCGTGAAAAATTTTTTCCCAAATTTTACACTGTTTAGGGAAAAAAATATTTAATTACCAATTGCTTAATGCTGGCAGACAATCATCTGACCCATAGGTGGCAGCCATCTCAAGACAGAGGACGAGAGGACTCTAGCCGCCCCGATGCCACGCATATAAAGGATTTATAGTGAAAAACTTTGTTTTTACGGCTTAATTTTTTTCCCATTATTTTGATACCGGCAAAAAGAGGTCCCATAGACAGCAAATACGCCCTCTACTGTCCGCGCTGAGCCATGCATCTACACGGCGGCGTGGCTGCTCTGATGGGTGGCAATCTCGATTTGAAGTTTGATGGGTGGCAGTTTTACATTTGAACACACCGGTGCTGTATCGCACTGCGTGTGAAGCGCCTGAAGACTTGTCAATCGATGAATTGCCAGGATTTGAGGTTGATGTTGAAGAATGGATCACACTCTTTCAGAATCAGAATATGTATTTATATACTGGAGGGATCCGATGAGCGATACCGTTCTTTCATTTGTATCATCTTGTTTGTATTGTTTGTTTGTATTGCCTGCTCTGCACGTTGTCCCATTCATTTGTTATCGTAAAGCGATGCAACATTTTTGTGTGCGCCATTTGCTTTAACCGTAATTGGGTCTCACACTCGACGCTGCGCATGGCGTGTCTTGAGTGTAAGAGTGTATAAACTCATTTATTTGTTGAAAACATCTTTATTTACAGATGACTGCAGAGCTTGAGTAAATGTCGTTAGCGCCGGCTCACCACCGCGTGGCTGCTTGCTGCCTCTCAGCTTCGTCTGTGGTTCCTCGGCGATTGCAATATTCCATTTGCATAAATAATTAACATATAACTTAACGTCATTTCAACCGATCCATTGTTGTACGTTGACTAGGTAGTAGTAGTCGTAATAATCTGTGGCATAGAATAATAATGCACAGCCCTTTGTCAACCGACTGCGAGACGAAGGGCTTGCCAACGCCGTGACGGTGAAACTAATTGTTAGAGACCAGAACTTCCCCGGCGTGGTCAGCGGGGACAGGGGATGGATGAGGTTCGGAACCACTGGCAAAACCAGTGGGGGGTCGGGTGGCACGTCCCCCCCCCCCCCCAATGATCCGATCGAAATCCCTAATTTCGAAATCCCTAATTTCGATCGGATCATTGGTTTTTTTTTTCAGTAATAAATCGGCATTTTGCGACCCCCACTGCCACTGTGTAGCATAATATTACGTGGCCAGGGACTGTATGAGATGATAGGGCAATAGTCTGAGTCTATAATTGGCAATAAGTAACGGCAAATCGGTTATAAGTGACTCAGAATTGTGCGCAGTTGCGTTTACAGTACACGACTTCCCTGAAGGCATTCACCTTCAGCGAGCGCGATGCCGATCACACCACGCGGCTCGAATTCGACCCTCGATCGATGGCTGCGCCATCGCCGTACACGCGTCGAATAAAAAGCAAGGGACAAGCCCTTACTAACAACTCCTCTATCATTTTTCATTGCTGGAGGGGTTGCCCCCCCCCCTACCTGAAAATCTCGGCTCCCTCATTGCTCGGAAGGATCCTGTTTCACATTTCACTCGCCAACGATTTGTTGGTTGTGGCCAGGAATCGTAACTCGGATTTCCGAGCTGTAAACCCATTACAGCAACCCTGGCCATTCGTGTTGTACGATGCGGTTGAGTGTGAACATTGTATACTTCGTTATAAGTATGATTCAAAACACAAAACATGTTGCGTTGCTAGAGGTAGACAAACGCAAATGACAACATTCGTCAATGCCTTAAAAGGAAGAGTACTGTATATAATAGTTGACGTTTCGGGCAATTGCCCTTCACACGAGAAGTATCATCGCCCAAAACGTCGCTTGCTATCTACTGTTCAATTGCATGAATACTAAAAGCTATAGTTTTATCCGTTCAGAAAACCCAGATTAAGGAGATGGTTTATCTTTAACGAGGCTTAAGGGTGGTGTACATGGAATCGACGCCACGTTTTGCGAGGGGTCGTGGGAATCCCATTGGAAAGTGACACAACTGAGAAGAATCGAAGTGACATTCCGAGGAGGTTCAGTGAAATCTTGGAGATCAATAACACGTTTTAGTTCCGAGGCCTTACCTTGAAAGGGACATCTCCGCCTCCACTTCGTTTTCCAGGATCGTGGCTGAGAGAGGACCTGGCAACACGGGTCTTGACACGGCAATGGTTTCACAGAACCAAAATGTTGAAGACGTTTTGGAATTATACTCCAAGTTCAGCGCTCTTAATGTTTTAATGTTGCCGTTCCAGTGTAGCCTGGCCTAAAGCACTCTTTACTTTCATGCGTAGCCTTTCACGACCAATACGATTCGTGTTTTGAGATGTATCGTGTGGGCACGCTGCTAATTTGGGCTGTGCGTCTTCCACCAGCTGTCACAGCCAAACAAAGCGAGCGTTAATGTCACAATGTTGTGCGACGTATGTGTTGAACTTCTTTCGCGCCGTACGTAGCCAACCGCGCCAATCGGAGGTGTGGCAGCAGCGGGGGGGGGGGGGGGGCAATAACACACACAAAAGCAGTCCTAAAGAAATGACTTTCAATCCAGATTTAAACGTGCATCGCTCCCAAGAGCTCAGAACTCAATTGAATGGGCTTCCCCATCTGGGTCCTTAAGTCGGTGCCCTGATGTCATCAGAACAGCCCCTGCAGGTGAATCGGTTTAGATAATAGTCAAGAGTTGATTGCAGATTGATTTCGCCAGATCCATCTGGCGCTCCGACCAGTGCCGGATTATCCTCGTAGCATAAGTAGCTACATATGTAGTCAATTCCGGTTCAGTGATTCTGCACTTGCTCTATTACTATAGTACTAGACTGCCTTCAACTTTTATGAACGACTGGGTGTTTCAGGTTAGCGATTTGTCGTATTATCTGTATAGCAAATGAAAAAATACAATTACTTTACTATGCAAGTTAAAAAAAATTGTGTTATAATATTTACGTGTTTTTTTTTTTATTCAGGGCCCCTTGATAACATAAAGCTACAGGCCCCGCACTAGCTTAATCCGGCACTGGCTCCGGCATGACAACTGCAACAAAGATCCGCCTCGACAGGGTGGTCTAGATGTCTTGTGACCCCCAAATCAATTCAGCCCTAACATTTTTTTGTTCCTTTGAATATTAGTTTCTGTTTTAAATGCACCTTACTTACAATATATATTACGTTTTAGATAATTAAATGTCGGGGGGAGGGGGGGTCACAAGATATCCACAACGGCGTACAGGCTGGCACAGATGTCACACGAGTCGTGTGACGTTCCTTTTAATTGAAGTCAGCGCACGACTCCTGGTATAGGGCCGTCCATAAATGACGTCACGCACCTGGGGCAGGGGGGGGTCAGACATTTGTGACGATGTGTGACGATGGGGGGGGGGGGGGGGTGAGAAATGTGACGTCACATAAAAATGCGCAACTTTAAATAAATATAGACAACACGTTCTACTGAATTAAGTAAACTTTTCAATAAATATTTTCTCCTACAACATCAGAGTGCATTGCCACATTAAATACGCACTACAATGACAATAGTTTAAAGCGATTTGAAGCAAGTTTTATTTGGGGGGGGGGGGGCAGAGCTTTGTGACGTCATATTTGAGGGGGGGGGGTCTGACTTTTTATGACGCCGTGTGATGAATGCGGGAGGGGGGTCAAAATTCGTCCAAAATCGCGTGACGTCATTTATGGACGGCCCCAATGTCTCCGAGACGCCGCTCAGTGACAGTGCCACCGAGCCAGAAGCCGAACGTCTACGGCCTTCGACAGACACCCACCGCGCTCACTCCAGCGAAGGACATCACTGACGCCGTGGGGGGCGGGGGGGGTACCGCCTTCACAGAGAGCGTGCCCCCCTCCATCGGCGTGTGACACGTTCAGCACCACAGAAGACTTGGGGGCTTGGGGCACGTTACCCCATGGCAGAGGTCGCAACCGGGTACCCGATACCCGTACCCTACCCGATACCCGGCTACCCGTACCCGGCCGGGTATGGGTACAGGTAGCCGTTTGCGACCCTGGTGCGGCCGGGTACGGGTAAGGAATCAAAACCCGTTTGCGACCTCTGCCCCAGGGCGGTATGCCTCGGTGGGATCCCAACACCAGAGAGACCCACCCCCACCGCGCACGTGGTCACCGTCGACGCCGGCGGCGGCCAACCACCGGGTGCAGATCTCCAGCCACCGCCACCACCAACCACTGCCTTGTGGGGCTGCTTCTCAGCGTGACGTTACGCCACGAGGAGGTTCAACGCAGCTGGCAAGCCATGCGGGTTTATCCGTATTCTTGTACAGGGAAATGTAGTTTTCAGGTCCATACGGTGTACAGCCGTTTCAATGCGGGCAAAAAAACGAAGTGTTTATTTTTTGTATTTCTCCCTTGTGATGGGGCTTTGTCGGATAATTGTTGAGAATTTATGGAACGGTGGTGACCAATAAGATCTGAATTGGTCTGTCATAAGGTAGGCACTGATAAGGGGTTGATAATGTATGGGTTCATCGCACCTGATTGATGATGATGGTGATGCAAATTGGTTTTGATTTACGCCATGGTGACTAGATGTTAGCTCCCTCACCTGGTATACAGGTCGTGGGTTCAATCCATATTGTATATTTGGAGTTTGCGTGTCCCTCTCGGTGGTCGGGTAGATTTTTCTCCGGGTCCTCCGGTTTTCATCTCCACATTTAGAATCAACGTCACGCGTTCAGGGTATTTGGCACATGGTCTCATCGAAAAGAAAGCAAATTGTGAAACGGACTGTAGTCTGTTATTGCAAAACTAGTCAATTCCTGTGAAATGTCATACTTGCAATTAAAGTCCCTGCCCCCAAAAGGGTCCATTTGTCTACCACCGTAACTGGATTGTTTCATTTTACAAAGCTATTACCATCATAAACTCTGAGCTATAATATAAAAGCTGGAAGGGGAAGAGAGTTGATAAATATATAACATTGTATACTCGATTAGAGTGGAGAAAAGTCGTTATTTTTTACACCTAGGTCAAAGGTTAACTCATAATCAATTCCGTAGGGCCCCTGGTTCCTTTCGGTCAGAGCGAGCCCTTCCTTGACTCCGTACGACACAAAAAATGACAAATGCCGTTTGGCTGACCTATTAACAGGCGAACAAATAGTTTCATATCATGCGGTATATGGTCTGTTACCGCACACACACACACACACGCACGCGCGCGCACATCGCTCATCCGCGGCAGGTAATGTTCACGATCCCCGCAGTTGGGATGGCGATGAGTCGTGTGAATTCGCCAACGAACAAGTTGACGTGGCAGCTGACGTGATGGATGCATTTTCCAGGGAATAGTGTGGAACGCGTCCAAGATGGCTTCCTCCGTGGAGGAGATGCGGCGAAGAAATTCATTTTTTGGGTGCAGAGGTGCCAGGTGGAACAAACCTTCCCCCCTCCATGTTCAGCAAGTCATCTCGTCGCTCACCAGTTTCCGATCCTCTCTTCAAAACTCACCTTTTGTCCCCCCCCCCCCCCGAGCTCACCCCAACGACCGCTTAAATCTCCCCCTTCTAACCACTAACGCCGTTCCTACTCCCTCTTCGAAATCTCTCACTCATTCCCCATCCATGCAATTAATTCACCATAATTATGTCAATCTAGCTTTGACTTAATTCACGCATCACAGGTTCGCCCATTACTCCCTCCCATCAATTGTATTCACCTCACCTTCACCGTTAATACATCTGTAAAGTGTCCTCGTCGTGAAGGCGCTACGTAAATGACGTGAAGATAAGGTGGATCGTTACATCGAAGGGTGGTGGCAGCAGCGGCATAGGGAGGCCTTCATCCAGCAGTGGATTGACCATGGCTGATGATGTTATGGTCACTGCTGGAGATAAGATACAGACCACAGACTCCAAACCCCTTGAAGAATTTTTTTTTATTTTGTCATTATTTCGTTGTTTAATAACCTTTAAGTTAAAAACAACCACACGTTCACAGTGCAACAGTGTTAAAGGTTACAGTAGGGTAAATTTACATAAATTAAGACCTACTAAGTTATTTTTAGTCCACTGAGTACGTTAAAAACCCATACAAATTGACAAACAGACGACGTACAATGGCTAGATTAGAGGTTATTTTTCTTTTTACATGTGGTAAATGTAACATTAAGCAGCTATATTTAGGAACAATGGTGAACCACATGGCTCAATTTAATTTGGGGTTATGGATAGACATCTCACATTAGAAATATGTACTGTACAGCATATTAAAATCTATGTCACAAGGGTTAGGGAATTTATGGTCCCGAATGGAGATCAAGGAAATTTATTTTTGACGTCTTTTAAAAAAAGGAACTGTGCATTATAAATAAACCCTTATATTTCACAATGTTACCATTATGTACACACACAGTGATTACTTGTGCAGGCTAAAAGGGAAAATTGTGTTAATTTTGCTCCCAAAGTAAGTAATATACATCGCTATTTAAAAATGGGGGGGGGGGGGGCAGTGGGGGGAAAAAACACATGACTAATGTTACAAAAAGTCATATAGACCCTATTAACTCCTCGATATAGATCAAAGTTAGTATACGACCAGCATAAGAGGCGAAATTACGCCACGCATTTACAGAGCATCATTAGTAGTGCCGTCTAATTACGCCGATCCACCAACGGGTTCACCGATTCCCTGACTTTTGAAGCGGCTGCGTTACCAACTTGGACGATTTTAGTTTTTCCTCCCTCCCGCCCTGGCTTGCGGACGTCGATTTCCGCTGCCGAATGGATGATCCCACGGTAACCACGGTAACCGCGGTAACCACGGTAACCACGGCAACCACGGTAACCACGGCAACCACGGTGCAAAGGAAACCGATTCACTCACGAACGCGCGTTTGCCACTCTGTCGATTTTTTTTCCCCGTCTTGTTCAAAAAGAGACGGAAGGGAGGCAGGGAAGAAAGGAAAACAAATAAAGAGGCCAACTGCGTTGGCTACCTTCGTGTGCCGTGGTCGACAGCTGTAAACAAACCCTTCTGGAACTGCACGCGCTCCTTCGCAAAAAAGCAACCTCTGCCCGTCGCGGACGGGCGATCACTGCGAATCGTCTGAACGTGCAATTATAATATTTTTTTCGCGACTGGCTGCAATGGCAACGACTAAAACTCCCCTGGCTTCGGACAAGGGGTCCCCCGTTTCGATTCTCAAACCGTCGATGATCGCCCTTGCCCCCCCAAAAAAAAATAAAAAATATTGCATCGAACTCGTCGCGCGGCGTCGCACGAACCGCTATCGCTTCGCGCAGGACCCGGCGAGTTAACGCCGGGCCGGCTGCGGGAGGACGGCCTGTTTGCCCCCGGACCTACAGCAAGTCGCTCACTTGGCCGATATTGTTCTGCGACATCTTGCGTGGCAGCGGGCTGGGCTGCCGTTCCCCGTGCGGCTTCGCGGCACTCTCACTGGCCCTGCGGGCGTTCGTCCCCGCGCGCCCGCTTGCCGGCTTTGGCGGGAGCGCCGGCGGAGTCCACGCCGTTGCCCGGCAGCGAGACGCTGCGGAAGCCGCCGTGGCTGGGGGACTGGCGGGGGTGCACCGTCCCCTCCGCGCCGGTTATGCGATTGGGCTCCGATAGGCTGACGCGCACCGGCAGCTTCGGAGGGCGGTCGCCGTCGTCGTCGTCGTAGCCGCCGTCTCGGTCGTTTAGAACTTCGTAATCGTCGTCGTCCTCGCTGTCGTGAGCCACGTACGTGCCGCCGGCGAGCCCGGCGCTCCCGCCGTCGCCGGCGGACGCCGCGCGGCCCCTCGCCGCCTCGTCGCGGCCGCACGGCCGATGGCGCGGCGCGTACTGCGACGCCGGCCTCGGCAGCGGCGGGCCGCGGGGCGAGGGGACGCGGGCGACGTGGCCGGGCAGCGGCGGAGTCTGGGCGCCGGGCTGCGAGAACGCCGCCGCCCTCGCGCGACCGTGGCTCCCGCCGTTGAGCGAGCGCGGGTCGGTGGGGGAGGCTGGGATCGTTCTGAGGGGTGACTGGTGGTGGCAGAAGAGGTGGGTCGGTGGGGGGGGGGGAGGGGATTTGTTTGGACAAAAATGGGGGCAAATTACAAAGCTGAAAGGTACGGTTCGAGCGTGTGCCGATACGGAAATACGAGCGTCTGCCAACGGGGAGACGCCGCGCCACTCTACCTTTTTTGATGACCTCAGCGGGAGGGCGGGAGGACTTTCGCCGATGGGCAGGGAATCTGCAACGCAACGAGAGGCCCGAATGGTTATTCAGTGGCCGTCCGCGTCCACACGCGGCAAACCACTTGCCCATGCCACGCGGTTCATGGGGGTCACGTACTGGCTACAACGCGCAGCACAACAATGGATGTGCTGCACTGCCCTCTGCTGCCCACTACCTAGCCCCGCTGCTGATAACAGCCAGTCGCGCACGGTGTCCACCCAACACGAGCAACCACTAACCGGGTCTCCGGTTCTGCTGAGCTTCCGAGATCTGCCGAGATTGGGAACGTTCTGGGCGACAGACCCTTGTTCACCCAACACGGTGGCAATGTTAACTATCTCGCCTGGTATACAGGAGGTCGTGGGTTCGATCCCAACCCCGACACCTGCTGCTGTATATTTGGAGTCTGCGTGTCTCTCTCCCCGTGGTCGTGTGGATTTTTCTCCGGGTCCTCCAGTTTTTCTCACCACGTTAAGAATTACAATCGCGCGTTTAGAGTATTTCGTTGCTATAAATGTCCACACGATTGAACTATAATTTGTGATGACCAGGTTGCTTCTGAAAAAGAGCTATACTATAGCTTAGTGGGATCTAGGTAAAATAAAAATATAGATGACTCCCCTGCCTGCTCTGATGAGCCCAGTGTGCCTGATCCCATCGATGCAACTGGCAATGCCGTCCAGAACGTCAGGATGTCGCAATGAATGATGCGAGGGAGGGATGTGGAATAAATATTTTATGAAAAAAAAAAAATTTTGTTTTTATTTTAACTCTGTAAAAGCGTGAACGGCAGCCACTTTGGGGAGGGGGGGGGGGGTCGCTGTGCAGGTCCTCGCCTGGTGTCGTCGCGGGCTGCCGTGGGGGCACGGGGGGTGACCCCGGACCCAGCTCGGCATCCGTGCGGGCGAACGCTCGCGCGGGTTGTGGGGTCGTGCTCTTCTCGTCCAAGCTCCAGCTGCTGGGCGCCGGCGGCATCGCTTGAGAGGAAACGACGACGAGAGACATGGGGGGGGGTAGGTCGGTACGGGGGCGGGGGGCTGTTTTATATTTACATGGGAAGTTGCACTGCTCCGTGAGAGATCCAAACGGATTGCTCGGTCTCAGGAAGCCAAGAGTATGATCGGAATAAACAAAAAAAACGCGTGAAAAAAAGCACGCAGTATTTTATTCCAGAACATTTCAAGAGGCGCCTTCTCAGCCTTTACCTTTCTCGCCGGTGGAGAGGTTGGGATCGCTGCACGGTTTCATGGCTCCGGCCACTTGCTGCAAGCTCTGCTGCAGACGCACGGCACATGCAGGCACGCAGCGGCACGCATGTAACAGCCTCATTACATTCAGCACGAGCAGCAGCATCAAAAGACGAACTGCATGGGTTATTGCTTTTCTTCAGTTTTCTCGATTCATTTCTACAGTGCATGGACAATTTGCCACGCCATTGCCGGCAGGCAGCAGCTGACCTTCAAGTGGACTTTGTTTTACTCCCCTCCACGCACTCTCCTATCCCTCTCCCCTCTCATCTCAATCCCCTATACGCGCTCTCCTACCTCTCCCCTCTCATCTCACTCCCCTCCACGCACTCTCCTACCTCTCCCCTCTCATCTCACTCCCCTCCCCTCCACGGACTCCCCTCCATGTCCCCTCTAATCTCACTCCCCTCCCCTCCACGCAATCGCCTACCTCTCCCCTCTCATCTCACTCCCCTCCCCTACATGCACTCTCCTACCTCTCCCTCTCATCTCACTCTACTCCCCTCCACGCACTCTCCTACCTCTCCCCTCTCATCTCACTCCCCTCCCCTCCACGCACTCTCCTACCTCTCCCCTCTCATCTCACTCCCCTCCACGTACTCTCCTACCTCTCCCCTCTCATCTCACTCTACTCCCCTCCACGCACTCTCCTACCTCTCCCCTCTCATCTCACTCCCCTCCCCTCCACGCACTCTCCTACCTCTCCCCTCTCATCTCACTCCCCTCCCCTCCACGCACTCTCCTACCTCTCCCCTCTCATCTCACTCCCCTCCCCTCCACGCACTCTCCTACCTCTCCCCTCTCATCTCACTCTACTCCCCTCCACGCACTCTCCTACCTCTCCCCTCTCATCTCACTCTACTCCCCTCCACGCACTCTCCTACCTCTCCCCTCTCATCTCACTCCCCTCCACGCACTCTCCTACCTCTCCCCTCTCATCTTAAATCGTTTCTCGCTTCACGCGGCGCCTTCCAGGAACGCATCCTGCTGCCGCGTTAAACGAGGAATCACAGTCGTAATAACGAAGCGTTACAATGTACGGCGGAGCGCCACCGCGGCTGTGAGTGTGCGTGGCCACGCCGGTGGTCTCACCGGCCGCTGCTTGGAGCTGGGCAGCACGAGGGCACTGAAGGGGCGGTCGCGGGGCAGGGGCAGCACGGACGGCGTGGGGCCGAACGTGAACGACTCGCGGATCTTGTCCGACAGCGACGGGGAGCCTGGCGTACACACGCACGCACACGTACGCACAAGCACGCGCACACGCGCACGCCACACGCCGGAGATCGACGAAAGGTCAGAGGGAGGACGTGTAACAACGCGGATCGATACGGCAAGTATCAAAGTCGGTGGGGTCTTAAATTACACTCCCTTTATTTTAAATAGCGGATTGCCAAGCGTGGTGATAATTGCATGACGTGCCGTTGTGGGGGATCGTGGGCGATACGATAATAAAATAATCGGTACACAAACCCGGGTTTGTGTTACGATGGCTAAGAGGTAAAGGCGCAGGCATGCACACGCTACTGCCGGCGGACGGGACTTCAACCAATGGGAGATCTCGAGGGTATTTGGCCTACTCTTCCACGCTGGACAGACGTTTTTGTAATGAGGTGGGTGGTACACCCACACTTTAACCCCCCCCCCCCATCACGTAACCTGCTGTTCGGCTGTCTGTTTTACGGCGAAAAGATAAAAACAAAATAACAACATTCATTCCGAGGTATCCTGCAGCCGCCACGGTTTGTGCAGTGGATGCGGTTCAGGGTGGACCAATGTTCATAAAAGGTGCGGCACAGAAGCCAAAATATAAACCGGAGCCGATAAAAAAAAGCGAACCCTGTCACGTGAAAGAAGAAATAAGATAAACACGGTGCATTTAAATTCCTCCTCGGGACGAATTTGCTTTCGAGGTGGGTGAAAGTCTCGGATGCAATCGCCACCTCTGACGCTCGAGGGCGCCGGGCAGTAGATGCACGCCGGCGCGGAGCGGGTGGAGCTCAGGCTGGACGTGGAGGGGCTGCTGGCCTGTTCACCCCACACAGAGGTGCCGGCGGGGGGTGGGAGGAGAAGAGGAGTTCACGCACGTGAGCTCGCTGTGTGTGTGCGCGAATTTCTTTCGCGCCGTGGTGCGGGGGAAGGACAACAAACTAAAAGACAAAAAGCAGTCGTAAAGAAATGAGTTTTCAATCTAAATGTAAAAGTCCACCCCCCCCCCAACTCCCTCCCATTCACTCGTTCCACGCTGCACGCGCCAAATGATCGTTCAGCACCTCCCACGTGATGCGCTGAGCGGGTTAACGCTTTATTCAACCACCGGTCAAATCTCTTGTCTGCTACTCGCCTCGCAGGCACCTTGCTGGACTTTGGAATTTATTCGGGCCCCCAGAGTGCAAACGGTTCCCTCTCTCCACCCACCCAACACCGCCCCTGTCTGGTCCACAATGATACAATGGGCTCATTGTATGTGCACTGCACTTCGTATAACATGGTACCTTTTTTGCCAGTATCAAAGTATGAAAAAATAAGAATCGGTTTTTCACTTTCTGGCAATAAAACAGGAGGCCTTAAGATGTTCAAACACCAATTAGAAACATCTTGCAAGGACAAGGTACTTGGTATGTACGCTGAACTTGTTTCACAATGTACGTAGCCAGTTTAGCACGTCGGCTTTCACGACCAATATCATCCATAATAAAGGTTTTTTGCGTTAGATCGTGTAAATATATAAATATGTCGTTAAAACCCGCCACCACCCGACACGGCCAACTAGTAAGGGTTGTCACGTAAACAGAATGTGCCAATTCGTCACTAGTACAGCACACTGGTGTGTTGAAGGGCCAAGCCTCAACATTTACAATCTGAGTACGACGTTTCGCCAGTAATTACAACTAGCTTCATCAGGCGACAGCCAGATTTGTACTGTAGCCAACTGCACCTAATCGGAGGTGCGGGGGGAAGGACAACAAACTAAACACAAAAAGCAATTTGAATAAAAATCCATAGCTCCAGTGACTTCCTAATATCCGAAGGAAGAGCGTTCCAGACGGCCGCAGAAGAGCATCTGAAAGCGCTCGATGCGGTGACCGCCTCTGTTCAATGGTGAGCCAAAAGCCGCTGCTGCGATGATGATCGGAGTTCACCCTCTGCTGGTTTACGTGTTCCTTGACGGGATCACCAAGGTATTATATTGTGCTTCATTTGTCGCAACAACATCGATGTTTAACGCAGCGGACGAACGACGGGGTGTCACCGAGCACGGAGGGCACCACTCCCACCTGCATGGGGACCGGGAAGGCCTCGTCCGGGCCCTCGCTGGGCGCCCCGTCGCTCGTCCACGGGAGGCCCGCCGCCTCCACCGACGCCTGGGACGACAGCGACGACCCCGAGAGGCGAGCGGAGCCTTCGGTGCTCAGCGGGCTGCGGAAAAGGACGGGCGTTTGAACAAAAACGCCACACGCACGGCGTCGATAATGGTGGAGTCTTAACGCGGCGAGTAAAGCGAGCCACGACACGATGTCCTTTCACCCTTTTACCCCCCACCGGGACTCTCCGAGCCAGCACGAGGGGGGGGGAGGGGGGTCTACGATCACGGTGTGAGTGATTTTCACGCTGGATATTTGATGTGCCCGAGCCAGAAGCGATCCGTGATCCGCCGGCCTCACGAGCCATCTGAATCCGGGCTCACGGTCGCCGTCTATCCATAGGCCACTGCGGTAAACTTAAGACGAGGCTTTTTGTTGCGTGCGTGATACGGGAACGGCAGCCACGACACGCTGGGCATGTGGGCGATTCGCTTACCCTTGGTTGACCCTGCCCGCCCAGGGTCTTTGGATAGAGAACCTCGTGGATGGAGGAGGTCACGGGGTGGGGCGATAGGCCTCAATGCGCCGTGGTGGTGAGATGTTAGCGACCTCGCCGGGTATACAGGAGGTCCCTGACGCTTGTATATTTGGAGTTTGCGTATCTCTCTCTCTGTGGTCGTGTGGATTTTTCTCAGGATCCTCCTATTTTCCCCTCCATATTTAGAATGAACACGCGTTCAGAGTTCTTTGGCTGCTATACATTTCCACACGATGATAAGCCACTTCGTTGAGCTATCATTTGTGGCCAGGTCACTTCTGAAAAGGAGATATCTAGCTTAGTGGAGCCTAACCTCGTAAAATAAAGAAATCGTAGTGTTTAAATAGTTTCAATGGCTGCATCAGATCGACTCTTATGGTCACGACTTGGGTACGGGAAGGGAGCTCGCTAGGGGGGCTTTTCCAGGAGGAACCCGAGGAGAGGTTGGTGACAGTGGGTGGATGCTGCTACCCACCGATTTTTACTGCGCATGCTCCCAAACGTGACCTAACACAAACGTACACCACCATGACCGTTCAAACGATTCCCATTTAAAGTTGAAATGCAACTCATGACCCTGCCACGAACGGGCTTCATCACAAGGGGAAGCGGTGTCAACACTCCACGGCAATGTTCACGACATCACCACGATCGAATATTGGGGGCAGGCCGCAGAGGCAAAATAGTCACCGTTTACGTAATTCGCAAAAGTCCACGAACGCTCACAAGGGACCGTGAGATTCCACAATCAGTCATGGGTGTCATGTCTCTGGCGTGTGGTGTGCACTTGGTGTTTTGAGGGTTTTTTTAGTTGCGGAACAGGTAGTGTAGCGGTTAGCGCGCTGCGCTTACAAACCCGGCGACCCGAGTTCGATTCTCGCTCACGGTCCAACACCAGTGATGATTATCTGAACCGGTCATGGGCCTCGCCTAGGTCGACTCGGCCTCAAATGGGTACCTTGTGCGGTGTGAAAACATTACCACTAGGGAGACAAAGCCGGTCGGGCGTGGTGCTGGCCACCCATCCCCTCGTGTGCTGTTCCGGCCTTCATAGGTGCTTCGCTAACAGCACTTACCCTAACAGTCTGTTAAGGCTATACAGGGGATCTTTGTCTTTGCACTTGGTGTTTTGAGTTCGTACGGTTGAAAACATCTTGTCCACAATACCGATGGGAAATGCTTCAAAAGATGACACGTGCTCATTTCTGGATGTATTGACCACACGCGTTCTACGATTGACGACTTTAAGGTGTGGGCTTGCCAAGTGATGTTTTTGGCCATATTTGATAGAGGCCTCCCGCGGTCGCACGACAAGACGGTGTGTCCTGTCACGTGATACTCGTGACTCCCTGTGATTTGTCATCGCCGCGTTTAAATTAACTCTTTGCATTGCCCATGAAGTGTGAAGCGGGATGGGATGGGCGACCACCAATGTGCAAAATTCCAGCGCAATAAAAGTTCAGTAGGCCAGTCAAGGACAGTGCAGCGAAAAACCCATCGTTGCTCCACACCCCCTCCCCCCCCTTCACTAACCGACACTGACCAGCGTGATGAAGTATGGTCAAACATCCCTCACGGCCCCCCGCAAGGCGAGATGGCGAGGTCCTCATCCGGCACTGGATTGACAAAACGCTCTGCGGGTGTACTACTGGGTAGGAACCTAAGAACCCCTCCTCTCTCCTGACCGCCAACGATGATGAAGACTGCGCAGGACGAACGGAACGCTTTACAACGGCCGCCCGCCCACGTGATCGTTGCGATGTCCTTCACAGCACGACGAATTTTTCCTTGTGGGCGAGCGACACCGTTGCCTGCTGAGGGACGTCGGTGCAAAATAGCAGACAGGGCACAAGGTGACCGGGAGAGGGAAGAGATGCCGGGAACGGAAAGTCCCTAAGACGGACAAAGAGCACACATGGCTCAAGACAAGCAGCAGGAAGAGAGAAGGAGGAGGACCGGGCAGGAAGGGGGGGGAAGGCCGAGATGTCAGGAAATGAGAGGGACACGAGGAGATACCTTTGCCTGCTAAGGAACTTGAGCATGTCGGTACTGATGGGGACAGTTGACGCCCGTAGCTCCGCGACCCATCCACACCGTCTCCTGCGGCCGCGCAACAGCACACACGCTTTCAGATGCACTTCTGTGGCCGTCTGGAACGCTGTTCCTTCCAACATTAGGAAGACACTGGGAGCTATGGCACATTTAAATCTAGATTGAAAACTAATTTCTTTAGAACTGCTCTTTGTGTGTAGTTTGTTGTCCTTCCCCCGCACCACCGATTAGCACGGTTGGCTACGTCCGGTGCGAAAGAAGTTCAATAGAGTGAATTTCCCATCCAGTAAAAAAAAAACCCACCGATAATAGGATTAACTTGGTGCTTTCGGGTGAGACGCTCCTCTTATTCGTTGTACAACACACGCGGACAATACGTAGAATCATCCTCGGCTATCAGGGGGCTCCTGCAGATCGAGTCCGCGACACACGGACAATGTGCGTAGCGGACAAGGGGGCCGCAGACAAGGGCGCGTTATCGCCGCACCTGCTCGGCCAGGCTGGCGCGCATCTTGCAGAACTGCTCCACCAGCCGCTTGTGCAGTGGCTGCATGTCGGGCGACGCCACGCGCTCGTGCACCTCCAGCCCCGTGTACAGGATGTGCACCTGCTCTCACACACACACGCACGTGCACGCAGGGGAGGGCTGTTCTGTTATTCCCCTTTCTTTCCCACGAGGCACATGCGACCCGCGACAGCGTGGGGCCCTCACGGCGCAGGTTTACACTGGCGAGTCGCAACCAAACGGTGATACGTTTGCTGGCCTCGCAATGTTGTTGAATCTGGCTCAGGCAGGGACGGCCGTTCTGTTATTCCCCTTTTTTTCCGCTGGGAACATGCGAGCTGCGACAGCGTGGGGGGGGGGGGCCCTCACGGCCCAGGTGGTTCTCGGGCCGGCTGTTTACACTCCCCAGGCCACGTGTACGCTGGCCTCACGAGACTTTTGAATCTGGCTCGGGGCCAAAGCAGGGCCAATGACTCATTGATTGCGTGTGACGTCATCAGCTCGGCTCGGTTTTTGCAGTGGATAAAACAACTGAGCCGGAAAAAGGTGTTTACCGTCCACCGGAGGTGGGAAACTATGTTGTTACAAGAGACAAAGGTGACTTTCGGGTTCCTTTGGAGGGTCACATATCGACCAATACCAAAGTGACGGTGACGTCCCCACGTTTGCTTGTGCCAGGCCAGGTGCATTTTGAGGCCACGTAAAAGTGGCGAAGGCTCGCAGACAAGAGGTCACGGGATAGACCCAGGTGCCATGGGTTGACTGAGTTGACTGACAGATGCACCAGCTGTGCCTCCTACTGTGCAAACTTTCTGCATTTTAGCCGCTCGGTGCTCCGCTCGTTGTTGCGAGCGTCGCTCCTCTGCCCTCCGTTGTTTTTGAAGGGTGACTGCCTCCAACAGAGTGATCATGTGTGGCTAGATCGCTTCTGAAAATGAGCTATATAGCTCAGTGGGCCTTACCTGGTAAAAGCAAAGTAATTTTTAATAGTTTTATGTCAGTATGTTGAACTTCTTCAGCGGCACCGCACCTGTTCCATCATCAGCTCCTTCAGCCGCAGGACTTTTTGCCAGTCGTCCAGGTGGCTCTCCAAGTAATCCTTCATGAAGAAGGCCTAAGGGGATCAAGGTTTACAGTGCATGTCACACATCCACCACACAACCACTACCGCTATCAGCAAACAACCATGCCATAGCATGCAACCACCACCACCAAACCACCACCACCAGCACGCAACCACAGCCACAAGGCCACGAGAGACGAGTTTTCCCATCGAGGGTCCCGTCGAGGGTCACCCCGTCTCGTTTAGGCACCACACCTCCTGGTAGCGGGCGATGCCCCCGTTGACGGCGGCATCGATGACCCCGTTGAGGCACATGCTCAGCGGCTGCACGCTGGGAACGCCACCTCCTCCTCCGGCGCCACCGCCCGTCGCCCGCCCGTCCGCGCAGCCCTTGTATTGCGCGATGAGCGCCCGCAGCTCGCGAGCCTTCTGCTCCAGCGCCTGCACGGCGTTCTCCAGGGGGCTCAGCTCCACCTGGGCGACACCCGCCGGGGGTAGCGGGCAGCGAGGGTCACCGCGCGTCGGTTCGATTTTGTTGAACGCTCCCCCCCCCCACTCCCCCGCCCACTTCCCCGAGTTGGGGCCGAGGGCGTTCGCGCGCAAGTTCCGTCCGTCCGTTCGGTCCGCCGCTGTCTGTCCGTGAAAGTGAGATTCAAGTGTTCGTAGAAAAAAGATGATCCAAAAACGATTCGACTTTGGTGTACGGTCGTGTTTCTCGTAGGGACGCAGCCCATTGCAAAAGTGGCGAGATTGATCCCCGAAAGGATTGCCCAATATTATTTCGTTAGTGTCAACTCAGTCAATCGGATTAATTAGAAAACAGACACTGCAGACTTGCTTGGAAAAAGGAAAACATCGAAATATCGCAAACTTACCACTTCCCTGCTCTCCACTTCGAACCAGCGGGAGATGCCGGGCAGACAGTGCGTCAACTTTAGGGTGGTCCTCTCGATCCACAGACTCTGTTGGGCGTCAGAACGGTGACACGGTGTGAGATGGCTGTGTGGAATCGGGTGGGAGTGGGGGGGGGGCTAATCCCCCACGTAAGAGACAGCGAGCCGGCACCGCCGACATGCTGGGTCAGACCGCCCCGTGATGATTGTGTGCGGCGGCAGCTACAAGCGTGGCCGACTCAAAGACGCTTCCAAGGCATCTTCACCGAACACGCTCTCTCTCCAGGAGGGGGCTTCTCTCCGGAGCTCGCTCCTAGTTGGGTGGCCGTTCCACCAGCGGCGTTGCATCGTCGTCAGCGAAGCTCGGCCCCGGGGCTCTCCGAACCTACAAGCGGTTTGTTTTTTGTGCTCAAAACGGATGCTATGGGGGGGGGGGGGGGGCTTCACCTTGAACTCGTTATCGCGGTCGCGCGGCCCGCGCTGGAAGGGGCGGTCGTAGCGGAAGCGCTGCACCCAGTTGGTGCGGTAGAAGAAGCGGATGCCTTCGTGCACCGCGTCCGCGCTCAGCGGCGCCGAGTCCTCGGGCACCGGGCTCACGGCCGACATCTGGAGGTCTGCGCCGAGCGACGGAAACGGAGAGAAGGCCGAAGCTCCCAACCACGCGGCCTTACGCAGGCGAGCGCTCGATTAAGGCCGGCACGGCGCACGATGGGGGTGGGTGGAGGTGGCCGGCACCACCCCCGGTCGTCTTTGTCAAGCTAATGCCAATGTTTACACATCGCACCGGGTAGCTATTTGAGGCTCAGTCGACCTAGGGGAGGGCCCAGGACCAGTTCGGATAATCGTCGCTGGCGGTGAACGGGAATCGAACTCAGGTGGCTGGGGTTCGTAGCGCAGGGCGCTAACAGTGGCGAGCGACGCACACTCACGCGCGACGAGAAACACGGCAGGGGAGAGAACGCCGTGCCTCACCGCCGCGCGTCAAGAACGCCAAAGCCGTTCGGCGATGAATGCGTTAAGGCCCGCGACGCACGTGGAATATCGTCCGTGTTAGAATCGGTTGCGCGTGAATTATACACGTGACGTGCAAATGCTTTGCCGATTATATACTGATGTGACATTTGGGGATTATTTAAGTGAACAAAACTGTAAAAAGGAAGCGGGGGTGAAAACGTTTGGAATGGAGATGCTGTCAAGAAAAATAAAAAGCTTGGCTGCATCAAGGAGCTTAGTCGAGTGGATTTTGTTGAACCAGGTGAGTAATCGAGATACCAGGATGAGTCTCGTTTGCCAGAGTGGCCCTGGGGCAGAATGTATGTGTGTGTGCACGTTCATCTTCTTTCGCACCATACGTAGCCAATCGTGCTAATCGGAGGTCGGAGGTGTTGGGAAGGACAACAAACTAAGCACAAAAATAAGTTCTAAAAAAACGAGTTTTCAATCGAGAATCAGTAGGTGGCGATGCTTGCTTGCTGCTGCAGTGTTATCCCAATTTAGTCATTTGCGGTGTACATTTTTTTAAAATTTGGCAAATTTGAGACCTGACGCTGGCACACAACTCCTTGCGAACGACGTCGGGCCATCTTTAACCTGCACCGCGAAGCAGACGGGCAACGTAAGCAAGCCATTATCACCGAATACATCATCAGATTGCGGTTATTACGTCACGGTCATAAAGTGGGCGTGCCCCTGTGAGCGGTGGGCGGGGCCAGTATGCGAACAGCCAATCCGCTCGCTGTGGGAGGGGGATAGTTAGTTAGGTGGGCGTGGCAATTGAAAAGTGGGAGGGGCTGCCAAGAAGGGGGCTGACGGGGGGGGTTTGACAGGGCGGGGAGGAGACTGACAGAAGGGGGGAGGGGCTGGTGGGGGGGGAGGGGGGAGAGGCTGGCGGAGGGGGGGCTGGATGGGGGGGGGAGGGGCAGGCGGGGGGTTGGGGGGGCTGGAGGGGATGGAGGGGGGGGAGGGGCTGGTGGGGGGGGGCTGGTGGGGGGTGGGAAGCTGACAGGGAGTGAGGTAGAGGACTGATGGAGATGGGACAGGATGGGGGGGGCAGGATGGAGGTGGGACAGGGTGGGGGGGCTACCAGATCAGTACCACGTCCCCTGGTTGAGCCCCTGGGAGGCAATGCGTGGTGGTGTTTAAGCAACGTGGGGGGGGGGGGGGGGGGTACCACACTCACACTGCGTGTCCGCCTGCTGCAGGCCGGCGTCGGGCGTGCCGGCCGTGGTGAGGATGGCGGCGTGCGGGAACTCGCCCAGCATGCGCTGCTGGAACGTCTCGAGGCGCTCGTAATCGTGGCCCCGGCACACAAACTCCTTGTTCTGCGCGCAGTGAGACACACACGGGGTGGGGGGTAAAGTCACGCACACGAAGACACAAAGATCACCCGTATAGCCTTAACAGACTGTAGGGGCAAGTGCTGTTAGCGAGCACCTATGAAGGCCAGAACGGTACACGAGGGGGTGGGTGGCCAGCACCACGCCCGACCGACTCTGTCTCCCCAGTGACGATGTTTACACACCGCACCAAGTACTCATTTCAGGTTGAGTCGACCTAGGGGCGGCCCAGGACCGGTTCAGATAATCGTCACTGGGTGTTGGCCGTGAGCGAGAATCGAACCTGGTTTGCCAGGTTCATAGCGCAGCGTGCTAACCGCTACACTACCGCTCCCCACATGGAGACACGTGCACGGAGACACCCTGTGTGTGTGTGTCGGCGCGCAGCTGCCTGTGGTCACAATTCACCGGCAGTGGCACCCGATTTCTCATCGGATTGTGGAAACCAAAGCAGAGTTGAGCCCGGGCAGCGCTTGGGCGGTCGATCGCCGTGTACGCAACTGTGTGTCGGAGGCAGGAGCACCCCCACACTCACCCGCAGGAAGAACGGGAATTTGCGGCCGTAGAAGCCGATGCGGAAGAACTCCGGCTCCAGCCTCGGCTGCTCCATGATGTGGTCGTAAAACACCGCCTCGGTTTTCTGTGCCCACGGCAGAGGTCGCAAACGAGTTTTGATTCCTTACTCGTACCCGTACCCGGCTGCACCAGGGTCGCAAATGGGTACCCGTACCCGGCCGGGTACCGGTACCCGTTCCCTACCCGTACCCGTACCCTACCCGAAATGAGTGACAAACGGTTACTCACCAGTGACTCACGGCCTACCCATACCCGTACCCGGCCGCACCAGGGTCGCAAACGCCTACCCGACTACCCGTACCCGGCCGGGTACGGGTAGCCGGGTATCGGGTAGGGTACGGGTATCGGGTACCCGGTTGCGACCTCTGGCCCACAGCAAGGCGGTGATGATGGGGGGGAGGGGGGTTGGAGCGAAGTGACGAGAGGAGATAACGCAATGGAGATGTTTTTATAGTTGAAAGGTGAAATCCGACTGGGTGGCAAGATCGAGTGGGGTGGGGGCTTAAGGGGTGTGAAGTTCGTCTTCTGTAGATGTAGTTTCCTTGATTCTCTTGCCCCCATTATGTTTCAACCGCGCTACCAGCTTCGTGAGCTGCGGGAAATCTCCTCTCGGAACCGGACAGCTCGTAGGTGCATCACCAACGCCCCTGTCAGATAGCCGCAAGGAGATGATATCGCAGAACTAAACTTAAAAAAAAATTTTACCAGGTAAGGCCCACTGAGCTATGTAGCTCTTTTTTTAGAAGCGACCTGGCCACAAATGATAGCTCAACGAAGTGGCTTATCGCAGATATATTTATAGCAGCCAAAAACTTCTAAACGTGGAGGGAAAAACCGGAAAACCCAGAGAAAAATCCACGTGATCACGGGAAAAACACGCAAACTCCAAAATACAAGCGTCAAGGGTCAGGATCGAACTCACGACCTCCCGTATACCATGCGAGGTAGTTAACATCTCCTAGCCACCGTGGCTTCTAAAAGTTACGTCGACAGACATCGTTACCCACACGAAGGGCCACACAACCTTTCGTTAACCTTCAAGAATCGTCCGTCATAAGTCTGTCAAACTCAAAAACGCTCTCCTCCGACCGGGAATCAGTCAAATTAAATGAGACCACAAATGTAACCTCGCAGCGTTTCGCTGTTGTGGTGTGGACAGGGCAGAGGTCGCAAACGGGTTTTGATTCCTTACCCGTAACCGTACCCGGCCGCACCAGGATCGCAAACGGGTACCCGTACCCGGCCGTACCCGTACCCTACCCGGCCGTACCCGTACCCTACCCGTACCCGGCCGGGTACGGGTAGGGTACGGGTATTGGGTACCTGATTGCGACCTCTCGGATGAAGCCATGTTGCAGGCGCGGGTGGGTTGATTCTAGGAACTTGAATTGTGAGAAGAGACAAGACGTTGGGAAATGAGTGACAAACAGTTACTCACCAGTGACTCACGGTCTACCCGTACCCGTACCCGGCCGCACCAGGGTCGCAAACGAGTACCTGTACCCATACCCAGGTCGGGTACGGTTAGCCGGGTATCGGGTAGGGTACGGGTATCGGGTACCCGGTTGCGACCTCTGGGACAGGGCCGAAACGGACCGATTCACTTTGCTCGAGACACAGTTTAACCATGGGGCGGCCTGACACCCGGGTTCGATCCCAGGCTTCTCGGCGGTGGCGGTCCCAGCGCCCTGGGCCTCTGGGCCACCGGGGCCAAGTGGGAGAGATCGACGCTACGGCACTCACCCGGATTTTGCTGAGCTTGCGATACTCGTAGCGAACTTTGTATCGATCCGCGAGCTCCTCGCATAGCTGAATGCCGTTTTCCCAGCTCTGCCGAGAAAACCCAGGGAAGCGTAAACGCCAAGTCCTCGCTTAACGCGCGGTGTTTCACACAGCGGGTTTTAGCTATGACGCAGTTCCTTCCGTGAGGGAACCGCATGATACGAAACGTGCACCGTTGAAACGCGGTTTCTGAGTGGTTGACAACAAACGACTGACTTGAGATGCGCGGCTGAGCGGAATGATGCAGTACGTGGAATGATACAGTATGTGGAATGATGCAGTATGTGGAATGATACAGTACGTGGAATGATGCAGTACGTGGAATGATACAGTATGTGGAATGATACAGTTTGTGGAATGATACAGTATGTGGAATGATGCAGTATGTGGAATGATACAGTATGTGGAATGATACAGTACGTGGCAGCGTATCCTCATCTCAGTTATTTGTCCTGCCATGGGGATGACTGCAGGTTGATGTTATCATGCAAATGTGATTCAGTAACTCCGCAATTCCTCGCTTAACACGGTTTTTGCTGAATGCGGCACTTTTCAGGAATGCATCTAGCGCGTTTAAACGAGGAATTACTGTGTTTGTAAAAAAAAAACAATGGTTGGTCGACAATAACGGATGGCGGAGCGGCACCCAAAAGCCGAGAGAGTTTTCATCCACCGCGGAGATGGAGCGACAAAATCCGCCTCCGCTGCAGGAGCCAGGTGGATCTCGCGGCGCGAACGGTGCCGACCTTGCCACACTCGAAGAGGTGGATCATGTCGAGCAGCAGCTGCTCCTTCCGCTGCCACGAAGTCTGCACGGGGTAGTGCAGCAGGGAGCACAGCAGCTGCTCGTCCCAGCGCAGCAGCTCCGAGTAGAGGTTCAGAGTGAACGCCGCCTCTGTGGGGACACGAATCACCGTCACCACTACGTCACCACCACCACCATGTCACCACCACCACTACGTCACCACCACAACCATGTCACTGTTATCACGACGTCGCCACGTCACCGGCAGCACCACGTCATTGTCATCATCACCATCATCATGTCCACGTCACTTTCGCTGCTACTGAAATCACTCACCACGTCACCGTCATCATCCACATTACTATCACCATCATCTGATCATCATCACCACATCACCATCATCACTACATCACAATCAACCCCTGGACTATCACCATTATCATCATCGTCGTCAACATTGTTACGTTAGAGGAAATTTCCACTTGGAACTCTAGAATAGCTAACCGTGAATTGCCCTGTGTCAGAGACCAGCCTTTGACAATTACATAAAACAGAACTCTTTACGCACACTTTGAGATATATATATATTACATGAGGATTAGTTTGTTTTAAATATGTATAGCATCGTCCATGCAAATTGCATGTCATACTGAGTAGGAACCTCAGACAGCAGCTGGAAGGCTACCAGCCGAAGAGCCGGCGCCACCAATTGCTCTGCAGTTCTCTATATGTTAAGATGTTTTTTTCTTCCAGCCAATCAGTGAGTGTTGTTCGTACGTGTGGGAGGAAACCGGAGCACCCCGAGAAAACCCCACGGGTGGGAGGGAGCAACACACTATCCCATACAGAAGGGGACCGATCACATCGGCCCACAATCCACCGCCGCATTCTGCCGGCGAGCCAGGGTTATGGCTCCTCCGGTGCCCGCAGTGAACGGAGTTTCGCAACGTTCATCGTTCGCGCGGCGATCCGCCAACCCTCGGCCGCCTCCGCCGGCTCTGGATGTACGGGGCCGCGGCCCTAGCCACCGCCGGCTCGGCCCTCGGGGCGGCGCGTTTAGGACAGCCCAGCGCGGGAGGGTTCGTCGTCGGGCGTCGAGCGTTCGTCACCCGTGAAGTTGTTCGCCTTCCGGTGGAGCTCGAAGAGCTTGTGGATGTAGCGCACGTACATCTCCTCCTTGTTGATTTCGTTCTTGTAGAAGTTCTGCGCAAGCCCGGCGCCGACAACAGGCGAACCCGCGGGGGGGGGGGGGGGGGGGGGGGGGGGGGGGGGGGGGGGGGGCGTTCGTCAATCGCGTGTCGTGACCCACGTGCATTACAAATGATGATCACGTGGCATTGAGTTGCGATGTACTGCGAATGTAAATCGATCGAATGCGCGTGCACTACTTTAATGTAATTTCGCGTGACGGACGGACGTTTTTCAAGTTGCATCGTCGTGCACTGCGCATGTGCATCAAACATTGTATGCATCGTAATTATTGCATGCATCATCGTCATCAGCAGCAGCAGCTGATAATGATGATGATGATGTGGGGGTGCGTGGTGAGCGGGTGCGTGGTGAGTGCGTGCGAGCGAGCAGAACCGAGGTCCCCATGGAGGATGTGAACTCTCACCAGCAGACTCACGGTGCAGCCGATCTTCTTGTCTTCTGCCTCATTGTCCGTCATGCAGTCCCTGGAAAGCACGGGACGGAAAACCTCGATCAATCACCGCGCCGCTTACATCCAAACCTCCGACTCTCCCCTCCCGCCTTCCCCCCCTCTCTCTCTTTCTCTCGTCACGGCGATCGCTCACCATCGACCTGCGCACCTCGCTTATCACTCCCCTTCGTTTAACGCCATCAATCCTCCTCCTGCACGGGCGCCCTCTAAGTCCCGCTCGTGACACGTGGCAGCGCAAGGCCACCGCCGATGGCGATTCGTCAGCGCCCATTCCGGTTACGCGTCCAAGACGCCTGCGCCGTTTGTGTCCGCTTCCTTTGTTGTCCTTCCCCGTGCTTCCGATAAGCACGGTCGGCTACGGTCGGCTACGGTCGGTGTGAAAGAGACGTACATCCTCTGATCCGTCACACGAGCCTACCGGTAATCCAGTAGCCGCTCCATGAGCCGAGTCACCGACGTCACAAAAGACACCCCGCTCTCCCGCCACGCCTCCTGCTCCATCTTCTCCAGCAGGCTGCAAGTGCACACGCACCACACAAAGACAAAGGTCGCGCGCATAGCCTAATCAAACTGTTGGGGCAAGTGCTGCCACGGCACGCGAGGGGGTGGGTGGCCAGCACCAAAGCCAGGCCGCGTTCGTCTACCCCAGTGGCGATGTTCACGCATCGCACCAGGTACTCATTTGGGGCCGAGTCGACCAAGGGGAGGCGACGACCGGTTCAGATAATCGTCACCGGTGTCCGTGAGCGGGAATCGAACTCGGGTCACCGGATTCGTAGTGCGGCGCGATACAAGCGATAATACCGCTCCACACTCGTCTCTCACATACACACACAGGGGACAGGCACGCGCGCACACTCGCGCACGCCCACACACACGCACGGGCACCGTGTGCCCTACTGCCAAACCAGCTGAAAACGCCACGCACGAGGAAGCCTGCCCCTTACCTGGGGAACGGCCCAAACAGCAGGTTGCTGCATCCGGGCGGCATTGAGAGAGACAGAGAAGAGGGGCGGGGGCGGGCTATCAGCGCGCGCACACTCGAGTGAGAACACAACAGAGCGGCACCACACGGCGCACGCAGAGGGGATTCTACCGAGCCAGCAGGCGGCGGGGGCAGGGATACGGGGGGGGGGATAGGGTGGTGGAGGTGGGGGGAGGTGCGGTTGCCACTCACAGGAGGGAGAAGAGCTCCCGGTAATTCTCGTCGCCCTTCCCCTCGGCCACCAGGCTGTCGAGTTTGTCAATGAGCTCCGCCTCCACCTGCTCGCCGCACGGGTCAGTTCGTTCGTCAGTTAATTCATTCGCTCGCTCGTTCGTTCATTTACTCACTCTTTTGTTGGTTCGTTCATTAGTGGCTTGCAGCGCAGGGTAAAACTCGTCACACAAATTATTTTGGATCCCCCCCATCCCCCCCACCACCCACTGTGCTGTCGGCGCCGCGTCACGAGATGGAATATCATCGATTTTGGCCCACGGAAGCGGATATCGCAGAACTGCAGCTGAGATTCCGTCAAGCGACGCCTCGTCCCCAACAGGGGAGCGCTGCGCTTCCCCAACCGCCCTACCGCAGAAAGTCGCATTCGTCGCATGGCAGCGAAACGGATATTTGATTTCCGGGAGCTGGAATGTAGCATCAGGGCCGTATTATCCAATAGGCACAGAAGGCACAGGGGAACAATTTCCCCTGCGCAACAATTCAGTTTCTCTCCATCTCCGTGCGCCTAACGAAGAAAGCTTTCAATCGGCGCACATCGCCCGCTGTGGCGTGCATCGCAGACGCGCAAAAACATCAAAACCGAAACGCGCAACATCAAAGCCACTCCGTGATCCCTCTCTCTGTTTATCGAGCAATTCCGCCTGTTTGTTTGCATGATGCCACAACCCACCGGGCAAATTTTTCGAAAATTTTTAGGGTCAGTTTAACACGTAGGCTTTCGCGAAAAATATATCAGAAAGGTTTGTCACGTAAAAAGAACATGCATGGCACGTTCTGTTTACGTGACAAAACCTTACGAATTGGCTGTGTCGGGTGGTGGCGGGTTTAACGACACATTTGTATATTTACGCGCTCTAACACAAAAAAAAGAACCTGTATTGTGGATTTTTAGGGTCACGTGCGTGAAAAAAAATTCAGTAAATTTTATTGGTCGGGCACCAACCAAAACGGCCGAGTCGGGGGACAGTGGCAGGAACAAGAGACAGAGGGGAGGGGTAACGGCGTCGCGCGACCGTCGCTGTGTGTGGAAGGGCGGCTGGAGAAAGAAAAGGCCGTTGGCAGCAACCTGCTTGAAGTTGCCACGGACCCGCTGCTCCCAGTCCATCATGTCGTGGAAAATGGGGATCATGACTCCACGCAGCTCGGCCTGAGGGACCAGCGTGATGCCGAGGAAGGGTCCGATGAGGCCCGGGATGAAGTGCTGCTTGTTCTCGCCTTGTGGTGCAAAAAAGTAGACGGAGTGTTACCGAAGCACAGAGCTGTGGCGAGTTTTCTTGTTGCAACAGCAAAAAACTGTAAAACAATAACTGTACAGTTAATCGATATTTCGACATTACGTGAAGGGGAAAGGCAACAAAAGCACACGCACAACAGCGGAGTAGAAATTCACACACCCCCTGGCGCTTCTATGAATCATCGAAATTAGTTTCAACAATTCATGTTTTACCTTTTGCAGCAAACGTAGCAGCTACATTGCGACATCTACAAATCGAGAAAAAAAATAAAAACCCGCGTGTCCTTTACCCAGGCGTGTCACGGAGATCGAGAATAATCGACGCCGGATCGGCGAACCCCCCATTCGCATCGTTTCACCACCCCCCCCCCCCCCCTCACTTTGACAAGCCGCGCGGGTTAAAAAAACGCACGACTCTCGAGCGTGAGAAAACCCCTTGGACAAAAGACGGCCCACAACCCGACAAAAATGCGAATAAAAACAAAATGGTACAGCGGAGGGAGGGGGGGTGGGGGGCCGCCGCACAAGACCGCGGGTGGAACCGCAACGGCACCGCAACGTTGAAACCGAAGGACACGGGGTCAGTCGCTCGGTGAATAATTTCAGGCAAAGCGGCGGCTGGACGTTGCCCCCCTTTCGCGTGGCCCTCCCTGTGTCCGCGGCTGTCAGCCGTGCGACGGACGACAGCCGTTGGGCGGGTGGCCTCCTGGCGCCGTCCCTCATCTCGGCCGCGGCGGGGACAGCGGACGGGGTTTTTCTGTTGCGACGAAAAATAAAATTGACGACGGACTTCGGGGCTCACCGAGGTTCTGCCACATGCTGAAGAGTTCGTAGCCCATCATGACCCTCATGTCGTCGTACCTTGGACGGGCGAGGGTGGCGGACACACACGCGCGCACAGGGACGCGTCAGGCGGCTTCCGAAATTAAAACGCGGGACGGTTGGCGGGCGTGCCGTCACATCTGCGGCTCGCGCGGAGTGGAGCGCACTCCCGCTCGATATTCGCAAAAGGAAGTCCCTTCCACTGTTTATGTTCCATTTAAACACCTTTTTGTTTACTAAGGCCTTTAATTGAATTGACCTTGGTTTAGGTGTGCTACGTGTCTTGCAAGAGGCAATTTTGATTCGTTATTTAATTGCTGCTGTCTTACGTAACGTTGCGAGATGCAGTTTTGCATGAAGGACGCAATATAACAACATAACTATTCTTTATATCAGAACGCAGATGACCCGGACATCGCATCCGATAATTTTATGAAGCGTTACCGATGCTCTACGATATCAAGATGCTCGTGATCTGATGCTCGTAAGAAAATCTAAAGTGACCGTTGCATTACACATGGGTTAAAATGTTAACAACGATCACAAAAATGTACAGGCACACCGAATGCAGTGATGGTAATGGGGGGGTTGTTTGATCCTACTTCACCGCTCTGATCAGTGAAGGTGAAGGGGCCGAGGCCCAGGGACCACTTCAGCTATCACTCGCCACTGATATTAGCCATTGCCGGGAATCAAACTCAGGTTTCCAGCGTCACAGCGTATTGCGCTATGCACTCCGCCGCCACCACCTCAACCCGAGTTATGATGTAAGGTATAAAAAAACAACGCATTACATTGTTGCTGTTTGAGCTATTGCCAGAAGGTTCGTGACATTTTTATATCAATAGGAAATGGGTAAACGTTTCAGCCGACCACCTTTATAAGTAACGTGGGAGTATCTGCGTGTTTGCACGCGCCCACTTATTTATTCCCTAGGTCGACTCAGCCTCAATGAGTACCTGATGCGGTGTGAAAACATCATTACTGGGGAGACAAAGGCGACCGGGCCTGGTGCTGGCCACCCACCCCCTCGTGTGCTGTGCCGGCCTTCATAGGTGCTGCTCGCTAACAGCACTTGCCCCAACAGTCTGTTAAGGCTACACGGGGGATCTTTGTCTTTGAGTGCGCGTGTGCCCCTTTGCATTCGTCGCTGTCGGGTGATGTCCTACCGATCCATGATCTTCTGGCGCTTGGCCATGGTGAAGGCCTCCAGCTGCAGGCTCGGCTGGTTGATGAACATCACGGCCAGATTGAAATAGGAGCTCCACACCTGCTGGGCAGAGGGCATAGGCGATACGGCACGGCGGGACTCGGTACGGGAAAACCGCTTACAACAGTATACCACACAGAGCACCCTAAACCAAGTGATTTGACACTGTATACCTAATACACATGTATATATAACACAGAATGTGCTATAGAATGTGACTTGACATGATATACCCTATACAGCGTTATACCACACAGAGTACACGATACAATGTGATTTGACATAGTATGGCCTATATAGCAAGTATACCACATAGAGTACCCTATACAACGTGATTTGACACGGTATGCCCTATGCAATGGTTTACCACACAGAGCACCCTATAAAACGTGAGTTAATGTGGTAGAACTGATACCATGTGATATCACGCCACGCGTACTTGACAGTGTAATTCCGCACCAAGTTCAAGATGGTATCACTGCCAAAGCTGTCATTTGACATACTGATCCCAATACACAGGCATAGACCACCCATTGACAAGGCCTAACCCGATCGGCTATACAATTTCTGATGCAATGCCCACGAACAAAATCGCCCACAATGCCACAGATCTTGTCAAATCCTGGAAGCTAACTGGGGTTGAGCGGCGAGTGACATCTCACATCTGAACCGGTCCTGGGCACCCCCCTCCCCCTTCACCAACCCGCACTGACCGGCGTTGTGAGGTATGGCCAAACATCAACAATAACATCACACAACGTACATTACCACCGTTCGAACTCGCAAACATTCTGATTGCGAGCCGCGTGCTCTGATCCGCCGCGTTGGGACAGATGAACGGTCTGTAGTCCTGTGCCCAATGGCAGATCTTTGGCTCAAAACTCCCTCCCTCATCCTGTCCAATCTGGAGATTTCTGATCTGGAGATTTCTTCTCTCGTGTCATTGCATGGTTCCCCCTTTCCATCAAGTCGCGGAGCTGCTTTCCCGTGTCTCCGCCAGCTGGCAGGTGAATGGTGCTGTGCGCAGACACGATGACAGGCCACGGGGGTGCGAACGATGCCCACCTGAATGTCGAACTCCTCGCCGGCGAAATGGCTGTGCAGCGCGGAGGAGAGGTACTGCATGGCTGTGATGACCACGCTGGGATCGGGAAACGGAAAGAGGCATCAGCGGTCGGAAGTAACAAAAATAATAAACTAAACTTTTTTTGTTTTACTTTACCAGGTAAGGCCCGCTGAGATATACAGCTCTTTTTTCAGAAGCGACCTGGCCACAAATGATAGCTCAATGAAGTGGCTTATCACGTGGAAATGTATTGCAGCCAAATACTCTAAATGCACATTGATTCTAAACGTGAAGCGAAACACCAGATGGACCCAGAGAAAAATCCACGCAACCACGGAGAGAACATGCAAACTCCAAATATACAGCAGGTGTCAGGGTCGGAATTGAACCCATGACCCTCCTGTATATCAGGCGAGGTAATTAACATCTTGCAACCGTATAGTTGCACAAGGCTATCCCTGAAGACGCTGTGTTTCACAAACAAGTACGGTCGGTCAAATAGGTTGGGGGGGGGGGGGAGGGGGCATGTTGCAACGGGGCTAAGGAATGTGCGAATACTTTTTCTACATTTGGACCGTGACGCTGCAGCTGCTCGCCTCGTAAACGCGAACCTCGGCCACGTAATTGCCCGTTTAGAAATAGGAAAAAAAATACAAAATCAAAATCTCATCTCGACAAAGCGAGAAAGTGCTGTAAAAAAAAACCCAGACGGCAATTTTTTGGACCGTCACGTCGGCACACCAGAACACACACGGCGCCCACCCTTGTTCCCGAACGGCGCCACGGGCTTCACGTCCGCTGCGAAGCAGACGGCGTGTACTGCCGGTGTACTTGCGGTTCATACGCCGGCGGTATCAGCCAGGGCAGCCGCCCTGGGTCGAAACCGCGAACCTCTTGACGCTCAATGGAAAATGTGCTACCGCTCGGCAATATCGTTGTCCGTTTAGAAAGGAAAAAATGTAAAATCACATCTCGACAATGCAAGAAAGTGCTGTAAAAAAGCTGCACCATGCTAGGCTGGCAACATTTTTCATTAAAACTGCAAAGAAAATAACACACTTGTTGAGATGTTCAAACACCAAATAGGCACCTAATATAAGCCATCAAGTCTGCATTAACCACGCACGCATAACATAAATGCTTTGATGATGTACGCATTGTGCTTGAAACTGACTGGCCTACACCAGAGACAGCCTAGTGCATGGCTTTGCCTCACTGGTGCTGGAAAGCGCGGTGGGCTACGTACGGTGCGAAAGAAGTTCAACATACAAAGAACACAAACAGGTGAACAGCACAAGGACAATGCAAACGCCAAAGCAGACAAAGCCTTTTTCTAATTTATTTTTTGTCATCTTAATACTGGCAAAAAAGCATCCCATAGATTAAAATCTTCAACTCACTTGTTGGTCACCATTCGCATCAGCATCCAGTCCCGCGGGTAGATATCCTCCCGGAGTAAATAATTGAACACGGCAAAAATCTGCAGCATGAAATCCTGCAGAGAGAACATTGCATTACAGGGAGGGTACGCGGGGGGGGGGGGGGGGGGCCGTTTGACATTCTACTCACGTTGGAAAATCAAGAAAATCGCAATGATATTCTTGAGACCTGCCACGGGATCCTGCGGACGGCTGCACACAGCAGCACGGCTTCAATTCACCTCGTGGCGAATGTTCCGTTCTGTGTGATGCAATTTATTTTTTGGACAAAACTTGCCGACGGAGGAGGCCGTCACCAAAACCGGAGCAAACCGCCAAGGCGACGCGTTTTGTCCGTTTTGTGAACATGTACATCTGGTCCCATTATAATAATGTGTAATTTCCTGTAGTTTTCCAATTAAATAAATAGTATTTTGAATATATAATCCCCCCCCCCCATCCACCCCAATTTGTCTCGATTGCACAATCGGCATCATGTCACAAGAAGAACAACAATCCACCCTCCCAGAGCTCCCATTGTGAGATCTCCCATTGTCAGATCTCCCATTGTCAGATCTCCCATTGTGAGATCTCCCACTGTGAGATCTCCCATTGTCAGATCTCCCATTGTGAGATCTCCCATTGTGAGATCTCCCATTGTCAGATCTCCCACTGTGAGATCTCCCATTGTGAGATCTCCCATTGTGAGATCTCCCATTGTCAGATCTCCCATTGTGAGATCTCCCATTGTCAGATCTCCCACTGTGAGATCTCCCATTGTGAGATCTCCCATTGTGAGATCTCCCACTGTGAGATCTCCCACTGTGAGATCTCCCACTGTGAGATCTCCCATTGTGAGATCTCCCATTGTGAGATCTCCCATTGTGAGATCTCCCACTGTGAGATCTCCCATTGTAGGATCTCCCATTGTGAGATCTCCCACTGTGAGATCTCCCATTGTGAGATCTCCCATTGTGAGATCTCCCACTGTGAGATCTCCCATTGTGAGATCTCCCACTGTGAGATCTCCCACTGTCAGATCTCCCATTGTGAGATCTCCCATTGTGAGATCTCCCATTGTGAGATCTCCCATTGTGAGATCTCCCATTGTGAGATCTCCCATTGTGAGATCTCCCATTGTCAGATCTCCCATTGTGAGATCTCCCACTGTGAGATCTCCCATTGTCAGATCTCCCACTGTGAGATCTCCCACTGTCAGATCTCCCATTGTGAGATCTCCCATTGTGAGATCTCCCATTGTGAGATCTCCCACTGTGAGATCTCCCATTGTGAGATCTCCCATTGTGAGATCTCCCATTGTCAGATCTCCCATTGTGAGATCTCCCACTGTGAGATCTCCCATTGTGGGATCTCCCATTGTGATATCTCCCACTGTGAGATCTCCCATTGTGGGATCTCCCATTGTGAGATCTCCCATTGCAATATCTCCCATTGTGAGATCTATAATTGTGGGATCTCCCATTGTGAGATCTCTTATTGCGATATCTCCCACTGTGAGATCTCCCACTGTGCCGTGCATCGTGAGTTTGCGTCGTCGTTGCTGTGGCGCGCTCTCTCTGGGAGCTGGGGGCTCTCACGCGAAGGTGCTCTCGGCTGGAGAAGCTGTCGAGGAGTTGCTGGTAGTGCGTGTCCGACATCTGCCTCAGGAGCGACAGCAGGCACGACACGTACTCGCCCTGCATTACCACACGAGGCCACCGCACAGGGACACCAGGACTCGCCGTGTCACCAACACAAAATAAAAAAGATCCCCCGTGTAATTCTTTGCAGACTGTTGGAGCAAGTGCTGTTCGCGAGTAGCAGCACCGATGAAGCCCAGCACGGCACATGAGGGGGTGGTGGGGTGGCCAGCACCACGCCTCGCCGCTTTTGTCTCCCCAGTGGCGATGTTTACACATCGCAAGAGGTACTCGTTTGAGGCTGAGCCGACCTAGGGGAGGCCCATGACCGGTGCAGGTAATCATCACTGGTGTTGGCTGTGAGCGGGAATCGAACTCTTGCTGCTGGCTTCGTAGCGCAGCGTAGCGTTAAACGTTACCAATACCGCTCCCCCAGTGCTTAGTGCTCGCCAACACAAAGACAAAGATCGTTGTCCTTGTGTTGCCAGGCCACATGGACACTCCGATTGGGAGCACACAGACATGCCATGGCGGGTCACATGAACACACAAAGTCACCAACACAGACACGCCAAGGTAGGACACATGAACGCATCATGTGAGGACACACAGACGCATCGTGCCACGATCACATCGACGCACACCCTGAAGACACGTCCACGCCGTAGACACACAGACACTGCATGCCACAGAAACGCCACAGAAACGCCACAACACAATCCCGCCCGACACACAGCACCATAGACACACAGACTATGCCAAGCAGATCATTTAACAAAATCAGACACTATTAATAATAAATAAATAACCCCATAACAATTCCACTAAATGCGATGGTTTAAGGAAGACGCAACCAAAAATACAAACAGCTCTTACCCAGCGAGAGACAGAGCGCACGCAATCCGTGGGGTGGGGGGTGGGGGGGGGGCTGCCCAACGTTAACGTGTCAAACGTGAACGTGTCAAACGTTAACGTGTCAAACGAAGCGGTCAATATGGCACCCCGGTGACGTCATTACAACGTCGCTACAACGTCGCTACAACGTCGCTACAACGTCGCTACGACGTCACCCCCCGCTCGGATTTAAACGCAGCAGCGGCGCGGCGACGTCACTCCGGAGCGCTCGGGCGACGAGACCGACCGCCGTGGCGCGCCCACAGCTCGCGCGCCGTCGCTACCCGTCTTGCCAGCGACCCGTCGACTCCACGGCGACGTCGCCGCAGGAGAGCGCTCTGGGAGCGTCGCGGCGTACCCACCGTGATGTCCTGCGGGAGCTGCTGGGAGAGGGGGCGGCGCAGGGAGCCGTAGGCGAAGCCGAAGGCGTGGACGTGCGGGGAGATGGGGATTGCGCCGCCGGTGGTGGTGGTGACGGCGATGCCGGTGCCGGCGTTGGGGTGGTGGGCTCTGCTCGTGAGCTCCAGCAGCACCAGGACGAGCGAGTGCAGGAGGCTGCCCACGAGCATATCGAGCTCCTCCGACACCGGCGCGCCCTTCTGCTGGGCAAAACAAAGCACGAATTTGTCACCTACCGCTTGCCACCTTGCCGTCGATTCACAGGCGAGGTTCGGAGCGTTAATGCGTCTGGCTCTGTCCGTCTGGAGGTTCCTCCGTCGCGTCCGTCGCGTCTCGTGCCATCCGTGTGATTTCCAGGCAGCGGTTGCGACCGCAGCCATCGGTCCCTCCCAGAATGCCCTGCACGTCACGTGACATCGCCACGCTGTGTGTACAGCGCGCTCGGCCTGGTTTCAGACGAGCGGTGGCCGTAATTATTTTAGTCAACAGCAGCAGCTGGACGAGATGACTGCGTTACCGGTTTCATCCTCATCGTGAATCGTCAGTGCGGCGTAGCCATCATTGCCTCGTGTCTCAGGGGCTTTAGATGCACAAGCCTGCCCCGATGACTTGTGTGGACAGCTGCGGCAACGCGACACCTCAACCGACTCTAACGCTTTTCTGTAAATGATGAAAAACTCAACGGACAGAAGAGTGCGTGCAGGGCAGGAAACGAGAGTGGTCATAGCTAGAGTATAACTCGAGTAGTTTAAATAATTATTATAATGCACACGATCTCTAGACAGTGGTGCAGCGTTACTGTGATTTAGCGGCGGCTCGCGATAAGTTTCCACCGACTGAAAAATGAAACACTTTTAACAATGCTTGCCTGCCCATGATGAAAATTATAACTGCACACACTTCACTCCCTCTCGTCGTTGCTATGCCCCCCCCCCACTCTCCCCCCCTCACACATCTGGCTTCCTTGCCCCCACCAACGCAGTCGGCCACCGGCCGCCACCACTCTCATTCGTTCCGCAGCCTGCGGGCGAACGATTCCAACCTGCTGTCCGGTTTGCCGGGGGGGGTGGGGGGGGAGGGCGGAGTGCCATCGTGAACCGCTGGCGCGCGCTAGCGGGGGGGGCCGGGACGAACGCAGCGCGACCCCGTTGGGTCGGTTACGCACATCCTTGTCCCTTTTGACGAGCGAGAAGATGGTGCCGAGCACGGTGGCGCAGAGCGGCAGCTCCAGCTGGTGCTGCAGGTGCATCTGCATCGTACGCAGCACCACGGGCAGCAGGATCCAGCGCGGTTCTGCGGCGGCAACAAAAAAAACCCGGCGCGGTGCAGTCACTCTCACCTGAGCGGTGTTTTTAGTTTTGTTCTCCTTCACCGGCACCTCCGGTTAGGGCTGTTGGCTACGTGCGGTGCAACAGAAATTCTAAATGCAATGCATACGCACACAACAGGGTTCACGTGACATCGTGGCCACGAATCTGTTCCTCTTGTTGATCTCGCTTTTATAAAAAAAAAACCTTTGTCCCTTGCTTATTTCTCGGCGGGCCACAGCTGAGCTGGCCACCCCAAAAGCGTCCCCGTGGTTACGTGTGGCACGCGGACCGCCAGTTAAAGAACCCCCGACCCTACAGACTCAAGCGACGTGCGTTTCGTAAAAAATATTTTGTCATCCGAGCTCACGGCCCCAGCTCCCTTTCTGGAAGCGAGCGCCGGGTGCCAGGCGTCGTATCGCTCAGTCGCATCGCGTGCGGGGGGGGGGGGGGGGTCCTGGGGTCGTGGGGTCGTGAGGTCGTGGGGTCGCGCGTGTGGGGGCCGGGGGGTGGAGGGTGAAAGGGGGGAGTACCGGGCGTGTGGAACAGCTGGCTCTGCGTGGTGAGCGTGACGCACTGCAGCTGGGTGGCGCGCAGCGTGGGCGCGATGCGCATCACGGGCGGCAGGCAGCCGAGCGTGTCGCGCACCAGCGTCGCCACCTCCCGCACGCTCAGCATGCGCAGCAGCTCGCCAAACAGCGCCGGGAACGAGCTCAGGAACGCCGCCTGCGCCCAAAGCAGCGGGGGGGGGGGGGGGGGGGGGATGCACGACGAGCGACGTTTGCGCCACACGCGACGACATGCCCCCCGCGCTTTACAAAACTCGTAGCGTGCGACCGCGGCTACAAACACAAAACCGTGGACCGCGTAAACTTTCGCACTGCCCCAGTTATCACTCTGGTGGCTAAATCGCTCAGAACTGAACCTCTCTACCAATCGCTCTTCACCGGCCGTACGAAATCGCCATCGGCGCTGTAGTGCGGTAGCGGCACGAGCGCTGGTGCAAGGGGGTCAAAACAATGCGGTCGCGCATCCAATTCCGCCCTTTTCTTCGTAGCCCAGCGGCTGTGCCCCTTCCGTCTCGTGGGGGGCCCGGTGCAATTGCACTGCTTGCACAATCGACGGCTATGCCACTCACCAAACCATGAACACCTTCGGGGCTCCAGAGAGAAAAAACAAACTAAAAGTGCCGATATAATACGATCGATTGCCTGTGCCCTGCACCGTAACTCCGTGAGCGCTGGAATGAGCTCACGCGCGCTTGCACGTGTTCATCTCCAAAGGCCCCGCAGGCGTGCATGAGTGCGTGAGTGCGCTCACTCACTAGTCGTGATTACTGGTGAAACGTCGAACTCGAATTGGAAATGTTGTGGATTTGCTCTCCAACACACAACCGGTGTGCTGTACTAGGAAAGAATTGGCAAAGTTCTGTTTATGTGACGTGTTGGGTGGTGGCGGGTTTAACGACGCATTTATGTTTACACAATCAAACCCAAAAGACACCTATATTATGGTGTGCGTCACTGCAACGACGACCGCGGCGGGAGGGAGAGACCTGCGTGTAGGTGACGGTGTCGGAGCCCTTGCTCTCCTGCGAGAGGCTGAACTGCACGGAGCGGAAGAAAGAGTTCACCGACTGCCGGAAGTCGCCCTCGTCCTGACCGCCCGTCGCCTGCACGAAGAGCCAGCGCGACTGCACCACAAACTTGAAGATGTACTCCAGGGACTGCAACGCGGGTACGGGGAGCGGGGGAGACGCACAGAGATCCCCCGTGTAGCCTTCAACAGACCGCCGGGGCAAGCGCTGCGAGTGAGCAGCACCTACGCAGGCCGGCACGGCACGGGAGGTGGGGTGGCCAGCGTCACGCCCGGCCGCCTTTGTCTCCCCGGTGACGATGTTTACACACCGCACCGGGAGACACACGCATCCTGGGGAGGCCCAGGAGCGGTTCAGATAATCGTCACTGGTTTTGGTGGCGGTGAGCGGGAATCGAGCTCGGGTAGCGCAACGTGCTCGCCGCTGCACTGCCGCTCCCCGGCGGGGAGAGGCGCAGAGACGGGCGACATAAGAGACAAGCGGTCGGACGGACGCTCGGAGAGAGGGGAGAGCGCAAGAGAGATAACAAAAAGAGGCAGGCAATCGAACTGGTGGACTGGCAAACAGATAGTTAGATTGCCAGACAGACAAGCAGCGATAGGCAATCAAACATGCAGATAGACAGATAGAAATACACACACACACAAAATAAAACAAACATGCACACAGGAAATCAGACGGAGACAGGGGGGGACACTTAAATGGATAGATGACAGACATTCAGCCCCAACGAGAGACCGATGCACTAGTAGACAGCAGAAGAGATGGAGCGACAATCAATCAAGTAGACAGACAGACAGGTGGGGAAGCTAAAAAACATACCCACATACAAAGAGACGGCAAGACATCGTGTCTGACTTTATGAGAGATAAGAAGACACAATCGCCAGAGTGTGCAACTCACTCGGAGCATCTCCTGGATGTGATCTTGTTTCTCGGCTCCGACGGAGCGGTCCATGTACCACTGCAGGCAGCGTAGGAGCTCCCTGTGGGAGACAGAAGCTCGCTCGCTCGCTCACAGGGCAAGGACTGCAATGTCTACACTCACTCTCGTGTGTGTGGTGTGTGTGGTGTGTGTGTGTACGCGTGCTATGTGGAGCGGTGGATTACTGGTTAGTGCGCTGCACTACGAACCGGGTGACCCAAGTGAGATTCCAGCTCACGGTCAACACCGGTTACAATTATCCCAAACAGCCCTGGGCCTCCCCTAGGTTGACTCAGCCTCAGATGAGTACCTGGTGCGGTGTGTAAATATCGCCACTGGGGAGACAAAGGCGGCCGGGTTTGGTGCTGGCTACCCACCCCCTCGTGCCCTGCTCGCTAACAGAACTTGCCCCAACGGTCTGTTAAATGCTATACGAGGGGTCTTTGTCTGTCGTGTGTGTGTGTGTGTGCGCAATGGGGAGCGGTGGCAGAGTGGTTAGCCCACTGTGTTGCGAACCCGGCGACTCGAGTTCGAGCCAACATCAGCGGCATACACGTGAACCGGTCGAGGGATTTTCCTGGGTCGACTCGGGCTTAAACGAATAACTGGTGGCAGGGGCTTGGTGCTGGCCACTCCATCCCTTCAGGCCTTCACGGGGGTCTGCTGGACAGCCCTTGTATGGGTGAATGTTGAACTTCTTTCGCACCATACGTAGCCAACCATGCTATACTACTAAACAATTTCAGATTTTACCAGGTAAGGCCCACTGAGCTATGTAGCTCTTTTTCAGAAGCGAGCTGGCCACAGATGATAGCTCAATGAAGTGGCTTATCGCGTGGAAATTTATAGCAGCCAAATACTATAAAATGCATGTTTCTAAACGTGGAGAAAAATCCACGTGACCACGGGGGGAGAGAGAGAGAGAACACGCAAACTCCAAATATACAGCCGTGTCAGGGTCTGGATCGAACCCCCGGCCTCCTGTATACCAGGCGAGGTAGTTAACATCTCGCCACCGTGCTGCCCCTAATCGCAGGCCTTTCGCCAACAGTCGACGTGGACTACACCGGCGCCGTAGTCGGAGCGTGCGACGAGCGCGACGCGCGTGTGTGCTGCGTGCTGCGTGCGTGCTGCGTGCTGCGTGTGTGCGTGCTGCGTGCATGCGTGCTGCGTGCGTGCTGCGTGCGTGCGTGCAGGGACCCACTTGTAGGCGAGGGCTCCGCAGAAGTGTTTCTCGATGTAGGTGTCCATGACCGGGCGGAAGTGCTCGAACCGGCTCTCGCGCACCAGGTTTATGATTTGCACCTGCGAACACAAATCACTCCCCTTTTGACCGAAACGAGAGCACGGTGCCAAGGAGATGTCGCGCTCAAGGCGAGCACGTGGGTCGTGAGCTCTCTTCGCCACCCTCAGCGGGCGGCGTGTTTATCTCACGGCGTGCGCTGCGCCAGCTACCCTGACCCCCTGCGATTACCCCCGAGGGCGATTATTCCACAGCTGGAACCGGTGCACCGATTGCATCCTCATTCATATCTCGAAAAATGTTTCTAGAAAATGTGCTTGAATTTGTGCGCGTGTGTGTGTCACGGTTGTCTTTGAACTACACTTCAATTTTTCTTCTTGGTTCTTTCGGTAAAGTCGCGCAGAATGGAAATAATAAAATAATAAAAATAAAACATAATAAAATAATTCTCACGACGTTTCGGCCACAACGCAAGCAGCCGTCCTCAGGTGAAGAACAGGTCTGTCGATAGGACAGAGTCTGAATGACACGTCCTAGGCTTGGAGCGTCTATTTAAGCTGGGAGGGAGGAGGAAGAGCGCCTTGACAAAAGAATTTGCACGTCGCGTGCAATGTGAGCCGAGTGCCTACCAGAGACTGGAAGACGAGACGACTGTACTTCTCAGGGGAGTCGTCCAGGATGGAGAACAGGGCGTCCAAGATGTCCTGCAGGAACTGCAAAGAGGCGAGCGGGGAAACGGTGTTTAGACTCGGACATCATCTGTTCCAGTCTGGACATCATCTGTTCCTCTCGCCTGCTGCCAAGTTCACGGATTCACGGCCGAGAGTGCGCGGATCTATTGTTGGGGAAACGGTGTTTAGACTCGGACATCATCTGTTCCAGTCTGGACATCATCTGTTCCTCTCGCCTGCTGCCAAGTTCACGGATTCACGGCCGAGAGTGCGCGGATCTATTGTTGGGGAAACGGTGTTTAGACTCGGACATCATCTGTTCCAGTCTGGACATCATCTGTTCCTCTCGCCTGCTGCCAAGTTCACGGATTCACGGCCGAGAGTGCGCGGATCTATTGTTCCCATGTCTCGTTTACAACCGTCTCGTGCAAATATGTTTTTTGTTTTAGTAATTCTACAATTTTCCAGCCGCACCACAAATATTTTCTGAAACATTTCAATTTCTTGTTGTTGTTGTTGCTGTTGCTGCAAACAACACAAAGCAGGAGGTCCCTGCGGAAAAGGAGCCTTGGTACTAAGCGATTCCTTTGTATTGAAGAAAAATAATAACAATTTCTGTCCTCGGTAAATACAAATGCATCGGCCCGGTACGCGGCAAAAAAAATTTGCGCATTGTGTGACTTGCTTTGTCCCCCCCCCCCCCCCCCCCCCCGTCTCGCTCTCACCTTGACGATTTCCCCGCTGTGCACACCCTTGAGCTGGGGCAGGATGTCAACCACGTGGTTGGAGTGTGCCTTCCAATTCAGCAGCCCAAGCAGCACGCCTAAACGGCGGACGCAACACAGAAAGAAACAAACAACACGGACGTGTTCTGCGTTTGCGATTGACCTGCTGCGTTTTAACCGCCCGGTTATGGTATGAAACTATAAACTATTTCTTTTTATTTTACCAGATAAGGCCCACTGAGCTACATAGCTGTTTTTCAGAAGCGACCTGGCCACAAATGGTAGCTCTACAAAGTGGCTTATTGCGTGGAAATTTATAGCAGCCAAATAGTCTAGACGCGTGACGTTGATTCCAAATGTGGACGGAAACACCGGAGGACCCAGAGGAAAATCCACACGACTACAGGGAGAGAGACATGCAAACTCAAAATATACAACAGGCGTCAGGGTGGGGATTGAGCCCACGACCTCCAGATGAGATAGTTAACATCTCCTAGCCACCCCTGTCTGGCTGCTGACTTCCAGATGTTTCTGTGGTTCCCCAGCAATTGTGAGGTCTTTGTTACAGCTGCGAGCGTTGCTCCTACACTCTGCTTTGTGACAGGAGGATAGCTGCCTCCCGACTGCCCAGCGGCGTCTTTTACGAGATGCCGCACAGACAAAGTTCCCCCTTCCCCCATATAGCCCACATGGAACGTCGTGGCAAGTGGTGTTCGGAAGGACCTGGTGTGTCCAGTGCCCTACGTGGCCAGCTTTGTCTCCACAGGACTGATGCTTATCCACTTCACACACGGCACTCGGTACTTATTAAAACGACGAGTTGACCGAGGGCAAGTGCAGGACAGATTCCGATACCCCTAACGTCTGATGTTAGCCGTGTTCCTGACTCGAACCCAAATTGCCCAAGTTCGCCGAAGGCTGTTGGCGAGCAACTATAAAGGCCGGCATGGCACACGAGGAGGTGGCGCAACCCAGCAACGTGGCCCGGCCACCTTTGTCTCCCCCCCCAAAGCTGATGTTTACACACTGCAGCAGGTGCTCATTTAAAGGGGGGGCTGAGCCGACCCAGGGGAGGGGGCCCGGGACCGGTTCGAGATATCCGTCACCAAAGTCGGAGGTCGTGGAGCGGGGGAAGGGCCTCGGGTCGCCAAGTTCGCGACGCAGTGCGCTCACCGCTGCGCCACCCGCTCCCTGCTAAGTCGCGCACGCACGCGTATACAGGCAAGCACTCACGCACGCAAAGACAAAGATACCCCGTATAGCCCGAACAGGCTGTTGGGGCAAGTGCTGTTGTTAGCGAACACCTATGAAGGCCGACACGTCGCAGGAGGGGATGGGCTGCCAGCACCACGCCCGGCCGCCTTTATCTCCCCAGTGGCGATGTTTACACACCGCACCAGGTACTGATTTGAGGCCGAGTCGACCTAGGGGAGGCCCGGGACCGGTTCAGATAATCGTAACCGTTATTGGCCGTGAGCGGGACTCGAACTCGGGTCGCCGGGTTCGTAGCGCGGGGCGGGCTAACCGCCACTACGCCGCCGCTCCCCCACGACGCACGCACACGCGCACACACAAGCGTACGCACTGTTCTGCGTGAGCTTGCTGGAGCAGAGCAGCGTGGAGATCCAGAAGGTCTCGCGCTGGCTGCGCTGGAAGGGCCCGTTCTGCAGCACGGAGGGGCTGGGCACACTCTTCTGGTAGTCCTTGGAGCTGTGCAGGCCCAGGTAGTTGGCGTAGGCCGACAGGTCCGTGTACTCCTCGCACTGCGGCGCCCCGCGCAGAGAGTCGGCAGACAACACGCAACTCACGTCACGGGCGCGGGGTGGAGAGTCCAATTCCGTCATGAAAATGTTTAAATGTCGCGTTTGTTGTCGGTTATCCCTCGTTGTACGGCAACTGAACGTAGGCAAAGTCGTTCGAACGCGAGTTCTAAATTAGGGAACGAATTTGATATAATGTTATGTCGTACTCAGATTGTAAATGTTGTGGATTTGCTTTCTGTTTACGCAACAACCCCTTACTAGTTGGCCGTGCCGGGTTGGTGGCGGGTTTAACGAGACATTTATATTTACGAGTTCTAACCCAAAAAACCTGTATTATGGATCCCCCAATTACATAATCGACCTTAAATGAAAAAATGGGGGCTCGCTATACAAATTTTCTCTTTATGAACAACTTTTCAGGAACGTATCTGTTTCGTATATCGAGGGATGCCTGTATTATTATGAATACTACTACAACTACGCGATTTGCTTTTTCCCGATTGCTCTTTCGGCGTCACATTCACGAGATTCTATTCTTGCGCATGACGACAGCGATGTGCTCAGGAGCTCGATGCCAGGGTCGAGGTCTGCTGCTAGCGACCACAACAGGAGAGAGAGGGAGCCCATGTAGTTCTGCTATTCCTCGTCCACTGAAGGAGAGCATCACGAGATGAAGAATCCACTTGGTTCTTTCGCAGAGCACTGCAAACCTTCTGTGGCAGTGAATGGTCCACGGAAGTGGATGTCACAGATCTACCTTCTAGTGTCCATTAAAACTCCTTCTGGGTCCACAAAATAGTGAGCAGCACTCTGACCACTCACTCTGCCACTCACTCAGAGTAATGGTGACCGTCCGGCAGTCAAACTCATTTTTATTTCTTGACTTACAAGCTTTCGTGACTGCAGGAATTCGTACTCTTTTGGTCTTTCGGTAAAGTCACGTAGATAGAAAAATAATTAAAAAAATCACGTTTCGATCGCAACACAAGCAATCGTCCTCAGGTGAAAAAAAATATAGCCAGACAGCTGCTGAAGCAGGGTGTTATATAGGCCGGAGCAGATGGGTGCAGCCCAAGGGTAAGTGGGCGGGGTTAGAGAAGGAAGATCGAGGACACCCCAAAGCTGTTGGGCTGGCCCTTGTATTGTGAGAGATTCTCAGTAGTGCCACCTCAGCGCTCTGACCCGGCCACCTCGAGCAACAAAACATTAAGCTGGCGACCCAGGGGTCACCGCAGCGCTCGCACGAGTGGGCACAGCGGCCTCTCCGACTCTGCGTTAGCGAGAGCAGCGCAGCGGCCGGGATGCCCGCGGGACGCCCACGGGACGTCCGTGGGATGCGTCCGTGCGGTGCCCGTGTCCCCGTGCCGCGGTCACCTTGTAGACGTAGAGTTCGTGTGTGGCGTCCGCCAGGGTGCTGCCGTCTTCATTCATGAGCGGCGTGAACGCGAAGCCAAACAGCTTCCGCTCTGCCTTGTCCTTGGCTGCTCCGCCGCACCGAGCACACAGGACATAGACAACGTTACCCCCCCCCCCCCCCCCACATTAGGGCCAAACGGACCGCTGGGGCAAGCAGTTGTTTGTGACTAAAACTCAGAATGTGACACTCAGTATCTCAGCGGTTCTGGCTCAGCATCTGTGACCCGCGAACCATCCAGCTACCTGTAAAGGGGGGCCGCGGTGGTGGGATGTTAACTACCTCGCCTGGTATACAGGAGGTCGTGAGTTTGATCTCCACCCTGATGCCTGCTGTATATTTGGAGTTTGCTTGTTCCTTCCGTGGTCGCGTGGAATTTTCTCCAGGTCCACTGGTTTCTCCCTCCACATTTATAATCAACATGCCTTTAGAGTATTTGGCTGCAATACATTTCCACGTGATAAGCCACTTCTTTGAGATATCATTTGTGGCCAAGTCGCTTCTGAAAAGGAGCGATATAGCTCAGTGGGCCTTACTTGATCAAGTAAATAAAAATCAGTTTAGTTTAAATTTCATCGCTCCATCTCCGTGGTAGTCGGAACCCTCCTTTGACTGCCATTCCATCTCACAAAGCGCCCTGGCCCAAGCCCACTTACTTTGCTGAACAGTCAACGTGATTGCCTCTAACTTGCGTCTCTAACCGTGTCGGCTGTGGTCAGTGCAGGTTGAAGAGGTGGGGCAATCGAGCAGGATCAGTTCAAATATCGTGCACGAAGTGAATAAAAACAGTAATAGTGATGAGGATGATATTGTCAGAATCAGATTATGTATTTATACCGGAGGAATCCGATGAGCTATAAACCTCTTTTTCATAGAAATCCAGGCAGGCAGGTAAGAAGGAGTGCAGAGTATAGAAAAGGAAAAAAATCACCAAAAAACATACAAATAAAACGAAACTTACATTTCACAAGTGACCTGGCCACAAATGATAGCTCAGCAATGTGGCTTATCACGTGGCAATATATAGCAGCAATATAATCCAAATAATAACACAGCAACTGGAGCGGTGATCGACGACGACGATGATGACGATGATGACGGTGGTGGTGGCGGTAGTAGCGGTAATGGTGGTGGTGACAGCAGTGGTGATGGCGGCGGTGATGATGGCGGGTGACGGTGACGGCGGCGGTGACGATGGCGGTGACGATGGTGGTGACGGTGACGGCGGCGGTGACGATGGCGGTGACAATGGCGGTGACGATGGCGGTGACAGTGACGGTGACGGCGGCGGTGACGGTGACGATGGCGGTGACGGCAGCGGTGATGATGGCGGTGACAATGGCGGTGACGGCGGCGGGCAGTGCGCAGGCCTCACTGGAGCAGTGGCGGAACTCGAAGCGGATGTGCGCTCCGCGGAAGCGGTTGACGGCGAGCGGCAGGCGAAGCGTCTCTCCCCAGCGCGGGACGTTGTTGTGGTAGAGCACCAGCGAGCGGAACTCGGGGACGTGGCCGTCCCCGCAGCCGGGGCTCACGCAGTCCTGCGGGCGGCGCGGCGACATCGTCACCATCGGCGGCATCACAATTGTTCACCCCTTTCCCGGTCTGACGACTTACATGTACGTCGTCAGTTTTTTTTCCGATTCCACTCCATCGTACACGTACGTGGACGTCAATCGGAACCGGAAGTAAAAGTGAAATAAAATAACTTTGTCGGGACTGCATGTGCCCACGTTGAACTTCTTTCGCACCGTGCGTAGCCAACCGTGCTAATCGGAGGTGCGGGGGAAGGACAACAAACTAAACGCAAAAAAGCAAATCAGTTTGGCACCAGAGTGCGGTCGTGTCGTGGCAGTTCTCTGCGGTGAGTACGATGTCTTTGAAAACAACGGCGAATACGCCTCTCTAAATAAAATTGACGCTAACCGCTTGCGCGTCCCGAGATTCGGAACGGGAAAGGGTAAATAAAGCCATGATCAGCATTATCATTAGCAGCGGCATGGCGATAATTGATATCATTGTATACACGTGATTTTTTTTTCTCTATAAAACTACGCGGTGTTATTGACGAATATGTTGAGTGTTTTGTAAACAAGAAATATTTCCTCATTGAATAAGCGATTGAAGCTTGGCCATTAACAGTAGCAGTATCGTCATCACCAGCAACATCATCATCAGTATAACCATCATCATCATCAATAGCACCATCATTATAAGCATCATAATTATTAGCAAAAGCATAATCATCGGTATCATCATCATCATCAGCGGCAGCAGCATCGTGACGATCACCATCGCTCACCGTCACCACCTCGCCCTCTCCGTCCACCACCACCATGGTGACCTCCACGTTTTTCTGCACCGTCTTGCCGCCCCTCTCGAACTCGCCGCGTTCCAGCGTCACGTAGAGCTCGTTGCGCATGTCGCCTGCTCTCGGTCGAGACAAATACGGCTCCGTCGTGGCGTCTCGAAACGTTACCGTCACGGAGCGCCTCACCCAATGCCGGACTCGATCCACGCGCACGCGCTCGCTTGCACATACGCACGCGTGCTCGCTCGCACGCACGCTCGCACGCTCGCACGCTCGCACGCGTCACCGGTGTAGGGTCGAGAGCGCAGGCGGTGAAACTGCACCGGGCCCCCAAGGGCCGGAGGGAGGGGGGCCCAGGCAGCGGGCTACGAAGCGCAGGGAAATTGGACAAGGAAGGCCCTCCTGCCCCACAACCCCCCTGGCAACCCCCCACCCATCCCCTCCCCTACACCCCCCCTCCCTCATTCCCTACACCAGGGGCCCAATGCCAATCACGTGACCCCACACAGGAGCACGCACAGCTCTTTTTCTTGGTTCTTTCGGTAAAGTCACGTAGAAGGGAAATAATAAAATAATAAAAATACAACTATTAAATTCTCACGACGTTTCGATTGCAACACAAACAATCATCATCAGGTGTGATTATTTCCCTTCTACGTGACTTTACCGAAAGAACCAAGAATATGAATCCCTGCAGTCACGAAAGCTTTAAATCGAAAAATACAGCTGGATGAGGCCCTCCCCACGCCATTGAGGTGGGGGGGGGGGGGGGGTTATTTGACCATACTTCCCTACGTTAGTTAGCGATTGGTTTGAGCGTAGACGCGAGGACATATAAGTATGGTACGACAGCCTGGTATTGCCTGGTATTGCGTGGTATTGCCTGGTATTGCCTGGTATTGCCCGCGGTGACCTCTGCCGAGAAGGTAACCCTGCAAACCGACTTGTGTGCCTGTACCAAACCGACTCCCTCTCCCCTGTTCAAGTCCAACCTACAGACCTTCCTCCTTCCCCAGCCCCACGATACACTGCGTACGCTGAACTTCTTTCGCACCGTACGTAGCCAACCGTACCCCACGTGCATCGGGACCAGAATCCTCACTTAGACCGGAGGAGGAATCCGATGAGCTACGAAGCCCTTTTTCACAGATGTCCACGGTGTGGTTCGGGTCAGCGACACGGTGCCTTGAGGCGCGACGGCACTCGCACACTCCGCTGTGCGTCCGCATCGCACCGCACCGTGGCCGCCCCTACGGATGAGCCTTGACCACGTGGAGGTGACGCGATGACACCGGCTCGTGTGCAGGAGCGAGACGGACGGTTGCATCGCGAGTCCGCGACAGATGGCGATGGCTCGGAGACGCCTTCACCTCGTCGTGGGTCGAGCATGGCTGATGATAACGATGATGATTAAATGTACGTGAATTAGATTTCGCGTTGGCCTGAAAACCTTCACGATTTTCCGGACGGATTTTGACCGGCGAGGTCGGTTGGAGTCGCTACACGGGGGGAGTGCCGGCCTGTAGATCACAACCGCCGTCAACGTCACCTCCGTCATCGTCACCGCCGTCATCGCCGCCAACGATCACGACGGCGACAATGTCGGCAGCAACGCCGATGACGGTGGCGACGGCGGCGGCGACGGCAGCTAACGCCGCCTTCGGTTCAATTTAGCGCGACGTTTGCAGGAAGGACTGCGGCGGACGATCACGGCGGTCGCGCGGTCGCACACGAGACGGACAGACGGACAATTGCGTCGACCAGGCGGCGAGGGGCCGGCCCCCCGGACCGCTGCCTCTCAGCGCTTCAGGTGGCCAGGGCGACAGACGCACAGCGGCTTCGCGGATTGAAAAGGCCCCGGCCCCGCCACCCCGGCCCCCCCCCCGCTCCCCCCCGCCCCCTCTTCACCGTGTGCGCGCGGCTAATTAGGAGCCCGGCGTCGTTAGCGCAGCTATTAAGCGTCCGCTGCGTGCGCCTAACAAGGCGCGCGGCGTGATGCGGCGGCGGCGGCGGCGGAAAGCGAAGCTCCGAGCACTCGCACAACAAAGGGAATGGCTAATGACCGCTGAGTGTAGGGATTATTTTTTTTATCAAAGAAATTTTTTTTAAACAAAATTATATATATATAAAACGAGAGCGACACTTGAAAAGGAGTCGACTGTTAAAAAATTAAATAAAAACGAGTCGAGGCTAAAAAAAAAATAAAAATCGGGACACGTCGACTGAAGGGCAGCCGATAAATAAACTTGAAAGCGGCGCTCCTATGTGAAGCTTCGTCTGCGGCTGCGGCTGCGGCTACGCACGACGCCGTCGCGATGGCCCGCGGCGCCGCGTCCGGGGCCAAGGGACGGGCGCGGCACGGACCGCCACCCGGGGGGCCGCGCGGGGGAGCTGGATGCGACGAGGGTCATCGAGCGTCACCACATTAGCGCTCCCCCTGAGACACCCACGGCTGGCTCAAGGAAGGTTGGGTTCTGATTAGGACGGCTGCTACTATTGTTATTCTGCCGGGTAAGGCCCACTGAGCTGCACAGCTCTAGTTTCAGAAGTGACCTTGCCACACGTAATGATAGCTCAAACAGAACAAATACTCTAAACGTGTGATGTTGATTCTAAATGCAGAGGGAAAAATCGGAGGGCCCGGAGGAAAATCCAGCACGGTCACGGTGAGAGAGACGTGCAAACTCCAAATATGCAGGGTTGGAATTGATGAATCCACGACCTCCTGTGTAGCAGGCAAGGTCGTTAACATCTCGCCACCATGGCACCCTGTGCGTGGACGTGGGGGTGATCGTGTGGTTCAGAGGTTTAAGAGCGCCGAACTGGTACTGCTGAAATATCCTGGGTTAGTATCCAGGTTTCATCCGCACCGTGATTAAACCGGCTTCTCAAGTTGTGACGAGTTGATGGTCCCATCCTGGTCACCAATGAATGCACAAATAAAAACGATAACCTTAAATTTGGTTGTGCACTTAATTTGGCTAAGTTCCAGCTTTGATGACAAATACAAATTATTTTCAGATGGGTTTTCGTTGTCCTACGATGTCAACTTATCTCTGTGGCAGGGCAGGTGGGAAACGCCACCCACAACGGTGTGGACCAGAGGTCACTTGAAAGAAACTCAGAAGCAGTTCTGTGGTATCCGCTTCCGTGGGCCGTTCATTTCATCGGCCGCACCCTGTTCGCTCAATAAGCCCTCACCGCGTTGCTGCTACCGCACATTCGGACAAGTGCTGGCACAGACTGACCACTGACCTCCGAACTGATGGACCACGGATGTATGCATGCATGTACGCTGAACTTCTGTCGCACCGTACGCAGCCAACCGTGCTCGTCGGACGGGCTGACCTGGCATGATGACCTCCGCCGCACCGAGCTTGCGCGCGATTGAGACCCCGCGACCCAGCGCCAGCGGGTTCTCCCGGCGCACCACTTCCATGTCCCCGTGGAAGAGCTGCAGGGACACCAGCAGGCCTGGCCATGGGAGGCACCCGACAGGTCACGAGGTCACGCATCAGAAGAACCGTTAAACTAAACAAAAATCAAACGAAACTATTTTTTATTTTACAAGGTAAGGCCCACTGAGCTGTACGGCTCTTTTTCAGAAGTGACCTGGCCACACGCAATGATAGCGGCTCATCATCACGTGGAAATTTATAGCAGCCAAATACTCTAAACGCTTGATGTTGATTATAAATATGGAGGGGGAAAAACCGGAGGACCCGGAGAAAAACCCACGTGGCCATGGGGTGAGAGAGAGAGAACATGCACACTCCAAAATACAGGCGTCTGGGTTGGGATCGAACCGACGACCTCCTGTATACCAGGCAAGGGAGTTAACATCTTGCCACCATCTCACCCTGTCATGGGGTTACAAGTCAAAAAGTCTCCCGGCTTCATCGAGCAATGTGCATGGACATCATCTCCGTTGAGGGCGACGAGTCATCATCAGCTACTCGTGTTTCACCAACTGAGTTGGTGAGAAAGGGGGAGCGGGGAGGGAGGAGGACCCGAAAACGGTTAAGATATAATTCGCCACTGATGTTGACCATGGCTGGGAATTTAATCCGGGTCACTGGCTTTAGAGCGAAGTGTGCTAACCGCTGCGCCACCACTCTACCCCGTTGGGAAAGTTAACTTATATAACCGAGTTGCTTGACAATGGAATAACATTGGACCACGAGGTAGCGAGGGGGTGGTGTACGCAACTGCGCCATGAAGACTGCAGATTTTTGGGCGCTAATTTACTGCAAAGGTGAAATTCAGTTTTCAGAATTCGTAACGACTTCAAATAAAAACAAATCAATTTCTGTCAAGTGTATTTTCTTCTTCTCCTTCTCTAACAGAACATGTGCCCGCGTTTGATTAAATACAATGAGTAGTTGTGCACGGTTTGTTTCTGTCCCCTGATAGGAGTTGTAAGCGGTAATTAAAACCCACATCACAAGGACACGGACTCCACAAACGCGAAGCGTGCAGATGGCGAGCCATCGCCGTTCAAGCCCCCCACGCCGCACCGGTGTTCAAACCCACAAGGGCATGCGAGAACCCTCATCGTCACCATCGTCTTCATTACAGCCATGACTCATCCACTGCTGGATGAAGGATTCCCCCCCCCCCCACCCCCGCCAACTTGCACCCCAAGCTGTCGCCGTCTCTCACGTGCTCGCGACGCGACAGCCGCCCACCCGGCACCCTCGCGCACGAGCTCACTTCATGGCTCCTCGTGGTCGTCCTCATTCGGCGTGTGCCCTCTCCTTCGACTGCCATTCTGTCACGAGTCACGACCAGCGGCCTTCAACCCTTCTCGCAAAGTGTCCTGCCCAAGCCCACTTACTTCTCTGAACGGTCGCTGTGGTGTCTCCTCATTTGTGTTTGTACTCTTAACCACGTGCTCTCCTCTCCACGTCTCTCAGTGTCATCCCAAAGCGTGCTTCTCGGCTGAAGAGGGCACACGAGTTTTTGTGCCCTCTTCAGCTTGGGTTCCATTTTCCCCACCGATGTTCGCGTTTCTGATCTTTATCTCGTCGCAATCTCTCCATGGCATCTCCGCCACCTCTTCTCGCCTCTCTCGTGCACTTCGTTCCCGTTCTCTCGCTCTCTCTCGCTCTCTCTCTCTCTCGCTCTCTCGGTCCCTCCTTCCCCTGTGCCCAATCTCGTTTCCGATGCTTCTCACTCCTGGCACCCCTCCACTGGAATTCACTTCTCCTGTACATTGAGCAGCACTGCCCGTAGACTCAACACTGCCCATAGACTCAACACTGCCCATAGACTCAACACCGCTCACAGACTCAACACCGCCCCTGTACATTAAGCACTCCACCTCCGTAACCTCCTTCCGTTCCTCTCTTAAAGCCTCACCTCTTCTCCATTGCCCATTCCCTTCCTCTGCCCTCGCCCCTCCACTCTGTCCCGTCCCTCCCCTGTAGCCCTTCCGTGACCCCCACGTGCCCTCTGTTATGGTCACCTGTTCCTCGGCCCTTGCACGCCCCTTGCCGCCTAAATCACTCGGTTTATATGACCGTGTATCAACTATGCAAATTGCCCTGAGGCTTGGGTGCCCTCTATAAATGTAAAATAAAGCATCTTATTTATACCTACAGAGCTCCATCTCCGTGGTAGACTGCCATTCTGCATCTATGTATTGCTCATCACGATCAGTTCAAGCCTCTTGTCCACCTCGTTACTTCCTCACTTTGATCCCAGTCCACCACCTTCAAACGACAGCGCCGGGTACGACACACACACACACAGCTACGTGTTTGTCATGTCAGAGCGTTCCACCATTAGTATCCCCTCCGACAACGAAACGCCTCTGCTTTGCCGAGCTAACTCGCCACACGAGAATTCTCTTTTTGCTCACAATCATCCCCCACCCACCCCCACATCGCTCGTCATCCTGACTTCGAGCTGGCGCCGCCGCTCGGCAAGCTCCACACCGCCTGCCAGCTCGGTCCGCGGGCGGCCGACCTCCCTCCACACCGGGGGGGGTCAACGTGACTCCATGACCACGCGACCCCGTGACCCAGAGTGACCCCGCTCCGTGGACACGACCAGTGACGGACCGTGCCATCGCACGCTGCCGACGAGCGGCCCCTGGCCGGACTCGACGGTGTCTACATATGTGTGCACGTTGAACTTCTTTCACACCATACGTAGCTAACCGTGCTAATCGGAGGTGCAGCTCAGTGCCACGCTGCCAATGACGCGGCTGCCGCCTGGCTCAGCAAGAGGGGCAGAAGACGATGATAATAATGTCTTGAGCCCCATGAGCCCCACTCTATATCCTCCTTCATTTTGACCTGCTATCATTTCCTGTCGTGAATTCCCGTTGGTCACGAGCACCTGACGTGGACATCACAGGCGCTACGACAGCGGTCAGGAAATCAAGCTCACCGCGTGTCTGCATCGGAGATGGAGCCCGACTCCCGCAAGTTTAAAATTCCCATCAGCCAGAGGACAAACGAAGCTCTATATATCGTGAAGTAGTCACAGACACCTTCTGGCACAAGAGAAGGGGGAGAGAGGACTCTAACCTGAATAATTAAAATTTAATTATTCTAAAGGCTGAGCTGCGAGAATTCAATTGAACTCTAATGGGAAACACACAGCCGAGACACATCCACTCTGAGCCCAAAGTGGTCTGCCGTGCTCATGTACTGATTTATTGACGTTTCATTTGGCGAATTAACCAAAAGTGGCAAAGCTGAGAATCCCACAGTTGGTTTCGACCGCATTATCCATTACCCAATGTGTACTTCAGCAGCGGTGGAACGACGCATCGATGAACATCGATTCTTCAGCTTCACGATTCACCTGTCGAGCAGCATGAGCAAGAGGCAATGCTCTTTAAAGATTCGTAGATGTTGTACGTCATGGGGATAGGTCGCCCCTGCAACCACTAGAGGCGCTATGATATACTGCAAAGTAAAAATAAATAAATCCATTCTTGAATGAAATCGTTCCACTCTCGACTGACCTAAATTCCTAGACTGGTGCTGGATTCATAATTTTCAGCACTATGTAAGAGACCTGCTCATGCTGTGTTGGCCATACTTCACCAGGCTGGTCACTGCGGGTTCGCGGATTATCACCTTCCACTGATGTTAGCTACAGCAGGGAAGCGAACTCAGGTCGCTGGGTTCGTATGCCAAAGCTCCTCTGATCGGAGTAACTAACACTCCAAAGGTGTGCTGACACATCAGGAAGGCACAACTCTCATCACACCTTACACGCATGTCACGTGACCACCACATTGTATGTGCAATGCTCTCAGCCTTGTCGAAGCCACTAACTCGGAAGAGCTGAATGCATGGGCAAATTTTTATTTCGACCACCGACCCAAAAAAAGAGTTGAAAAAAAAGAGTTGAAAAAAAAGAGTTGAAAAAAGAGTTGAAAAAAAGAGTTGAAAAAAATGAGTTGAAAAAAAAGAGTTGAAAAAAAGAGTTGAAAAAAAAGAGTTGAAAAAAAGAGTTGAAAAAAAGAGTTGAAAAAAAAGAGTTGAAAAAAAAGAGTTGAAAAAAAAGAGTTGAAAAAAAAGAGTTGAAAAAAAAGAGTTGAAAAAAAAGAGTTGAAAAAAAAGACGTGGCCGTCCCAACAGGCAGACAGTGATACAGTGACAATTGTAGACCGAGTTCTTCCGTATTAGGACTCATCAGCAGTGTCCAGTCATCAATGTACTATGGGGACCCCCGCGTTGGCACTTGCCAAGAGGCTACAAGAGCCTCAATCCAACACTTTCTGTACATTCGGAGAAGAGCCATCGCAAGCAGGAGAGCGCGTCGTGCAGATTCCCTCACCGAGAATCCCACTCGCGAGCATCGCGGGGCACACTAAAGGCAACGCAGCGATGCCTTAATTGAAAAGGAACACTTTCAATTAGTGACTTATACATTATTTATTGCGCTCCAATTTATTTACCAGTCATACGATGTTACTAATGGGTAAAACACCATATACAAAGCCGCCAATTTCAATAGAATTTACATAAATAAATAAAAATGTAAAAAACCTTAACTACCGCTTCAAATGGCATGTTTGTGATTTACCTAACGCAAATGTCCATAATTTATTTCCTACTTAAGCTAAATTAAAATTTCACGAGGTTCCATTACTTTCAGTTTAGAGCTAATGAAACTAACAGCAAGCTGACGGTTCAGACAAAGTAATCGTTTTTTTTTTACACACTGCCTATTTCTCCGTCCCAACCGATGGCACAGCTGTCAACGAAACAGAATGCACCGAGCCGTATCCCACGCGGGGATCTGGTACGTTGTCTCCAAGCTCAACCAATCGCCGTGGAGATGCGCATCTGGACACAACCGCCGTCTCAAGCCTGCGACGGAAATGTGAAATTCCGACGACGGAAATCAGCCTGTCCACAGCACGACCCACCGGTGGTGACCTGCGAAGACTGTAACCCAGCGAGTGGCGGAGATTGATCCAGGTGATGCTCACTGCAAGACCCCCCCAGGAAGACGGACAGATGGATGACCTTTGCTGAAAGCCCACTGAGAGTTCATTGGGAATACGTCTTCCTTTGACGAGGGGCCTGATCCGCAGTGTTTGCCGCCGAGGTCGTAACGGGATTTTTCATTCTTGTCGTCCCATACTCCGGTACCGTTCCCGTTCTGCTGTAGTGTGCACTTATGTCACAGGCGGGGTTTGACTTCTATATTTGGAGGGGGGGGAGGGGGGGTTAACTTTGTCCCTCACAAGAGTAGATCATTCATTTGTTTAAATATTAATTGTAAACTACTGAAGATAAATTCATAAAGGTGCCCAGTTTGGGAGGGGCATTTAAATACGATTTTGACTTCCGTTTATTCGGGACCCCGGGGTCCCGCCATAAGGTTCATATGAGGGGGATACAAAAATGTAAACGCGGGCACAGATTGAACCGAGGCATAGTTTGGGTGGCCGAGTGGCTCAGAGTGCGGAGGTGGCACTGCTGAGATGCCTGCATTCGATTTCGGACAGCCGCCTGCGATTAAACCGGGTTCTCAAGTCTAGCAAGACGATGGTCTGGACTTGGCAGCCACCGTTGACTTGACCCAGTCACCACGTCGTGAGTTCGATCCTGACCATGACGCCTGTTGCATACTTGGAGTTTGCATGTTTCTCTCCCCGTAGTTGCGTGGATTTTTCTCTGGGTCCCTCCACATTGAGAAACATCCATTTAGAGTATTTGGCTGCTGCTATAACGTCCTCGTGATAAGCCACTTTGTTGAACTATCATTTGTCAAAAATAACTCTATGGCTCCGTGGGCCTTACCTGGTAAAATACAAGAATAGCTTACAGTTTAAAGAGTTTAAATAGACTCATGGTTCTGTGCTAATTTTGGCTAAATTCCAGGTCGGAGAATGTAAAATATCTCATTGAGTATCATACAAGCAACATTTCTCCCTGTGGCAGGGCAGTGCCGTCCCCGCAGTGTGGATCAGAGGTCACTTGAAGCAATCTGTTCTGTGATATCCGCTTTCGTGCGGTGTTCTTTAAAACAAAACGGGTTGTGGTACTGCTCTCCGAGAGACTCAAATGACTTTTCCGACATTACACCGGTAGCAAAATTAAGATTAAAAAAAAACGACATACGAAATTTTGGAATAAATCATAAACACTTGTAAATGTATGCGTGTTTGAACTCATTTCGCGCTGTACGTATCCAACCGAGCTAATCAGAGGTGCGGGGGAAGGACAACAAACTAAACACACGCAGTTCTAAAGAAAGATTTTTCAATGTACAGTCTAAAAGTGCTTAAGCTCCAGTGGTTTCCTAACATCGGAAGGAAGAGCATCCTAGGCGGCGCAGAAGCGCACCTGAAAGCGCGCGAGGCAGAAACCATCTTTGTTCGATGGCTACAATGACACTGCCCGAGTATTCAAATGACGACACCGACGCCGATGAAGTCTCACCGTAGTTGGAGCTCACGGTGTTGTACTTGCTGCTTGACTTACGGATGATGTTCTCATGGATCTGATGCCAATCGTTCTCATTACTGCATCTGAGGGGGCCAGAGGCTTCAATAAAAATCACGCAAACATCGATCGCGCATCGCCGTCCGTCGCAGGCGTCGATAACCGCGCGCTCCGCGTCACGCAGATGCCTCGGGCGCCCCGCAATGCATTGATTTACATCTATTTCATTATTTGCTTGCTTGTTTACATCCGAGGCAACCGCCGCCAGCGTTAGCGGACGCAACATTTGCTCGAACGACGTCAGCAAAAAAATCTACGATGAATGCGCAAGCTGCGAAAAATAATTGGCGAACTGAGCAAGACAAATAAACGGAACGGTCGATGTTACGCATTTATAATAATAGTAGAATACATTAGCGCCAACGACGTCCGGAAGACTACGATGAACGTGCAAAGTTCAGAAAATAACTGGCGAATTGAGCAAGCCGAATTAACGGGATGGTCGACGTTACGCACTTATAATAATGGCAGGAGTAGAATAACGCCCTTGGCCTACACAGGAAAGAAATTCCCTAGCCTAGAGACTCGAGCCTGCGAGTGTCGCTCGCCGCCAGTGGTGTAGCGGGGTTTGGCACGCGGGCCCCTGGTGGTGCAAGAATAACTTCGGCCCCCAAACCCTCTGTCAAAATCACCCCCCCACGCCCCTCTCTCGGTAGCCAGGGGGTCATTGTTTTCTGGTTAAACATTCAGGCTGCAATCCAGCACTGTGGAGGCGAGGGTTGGTGGATCGCACAAGAGACAGTACAGCAACATTTCGGACTCCTGCCTGAGATCGACAAAATGTCCTCCCTCGCATGCGTGGCTTTTCTCCGGGTGCTCCGGTACCCTCCGACGCGTAAACACTCATTTCATTGGCCGATAACACCTTCATACACATCGAGGACGGCAGAGCTTGGGCACAGTTATCGGCGCCGGCTCATCGCACGGCCGCCTTCCCGGCTCGTCTGCGGTTCCTCCCTGGCCCCTCCGAGACGTTCCCTCTCTCCCTCCCTCTCTCTCTCTCTCGCTCGCTCTCTCTACAACAGCGAACGAATGGCGGCGGCGGCGTTAACGAGTCGATGTTATTTTCCGTCGCAGACAACGCGCCGCCGGCCCCGCACGCTCGATAGCGGCGACGCCGCCGGGGCAGCGCTGCGGCGCTGCGGCGCGCGACTCACGTGTAGACTTTGAGCATGAACTCGCGCTCGGCGCGCCGGCAGGAGTCGGCCTCGTTGCTCGCGAGCAGCTCGGCCACGCTGAGCACCGCGCAGCCGTGCGGACGCCGGTACGGAGCACCGGTGGCGGCGCGCTTCGAGTCCGTCAGCATTCGTCCTGCGGGGCGCAGGGGCAGCGCCGGCGATTGGTGAGTTCCGTTATCGGTTCAATGTGGGGCAGATGTTACAAACGCCGGACCATGAGGCTGGCACACATGGCCTCTGTTTTTAAATAACACCACGAGGTATTTAACGTTGGCGCGCAACACCCGCAGTATTAACCAGGGCGGCCGTGGGGCTCGAACCGCGAACGTCCACAATAAAGCGGCAAAGGCGCTATCTCATCCTCACCATCACCGCCCTCTTCTTGATTGGCCAACGTGGAGACATCGGTTTCACCGCTAGGACAAGTTGGATTGGGCCAGGGTGCGTAACAAGTCCCAGGAACTACACAGCGTGGGGAAGCGCATCTGAAAGCGCGCGCGATGATTGACACGAGGGCTGCACGTACATGACACACAACATGTTGCATACGACCTTGGAGGGGAGAACTCCAGAATAAACATGACAAGCTGGAGAAGGCAGAGCGCTCACTGGGCACTCAGCGAATTCGCTTTTCAGACCGACTTCGTCAAACGCCGCGCGCGAGTTCATGCACGCCGCTTTGTTTTCACGGCGTCACGACATTACGTTGATTAATTATTTCACAGATCCAGCGGAGTCGATTCGGCCCTCGGCGCCCCGTGCGCCCCTTCCGCTGATGGGAGTCAGAAGCGGAGGCGGCTTGGTGTCGCTCTGTTGTTTACCGCGGCTGCTCTGGGCATAATGGATCACCGGTGCTTTGAATTTAATATTTCTAGATATCATTTTTTTTTAGTTCTGAGACAGGTGTGAAGTGCAGTCTCCAACTCATAATCACTCGACCTCTCGAGCCTCTCCGTGCTGCTGTGAAGAAGGGCTATTGCCCGAAACGTCACCTCCTCGGACGTTTTTTTTTATTTTGTTCACTGTGCTCGTGCACTGTCGCCAACGCAGCAGCACCACGTCGCCACGGTGGCGAGATGTTAACTGCCTCGCCTGGTATACAGGAGGTCGCGGGTTTGATCCCGACCCTGACGCCTGCTGCATAGAGACTGCGTGTCTCTCTCTCTCGCTCTCATCATCATGACGGTGGCGAGATGTTAACTGCCTCGCCTGGTATACAGGAGGTCGCGGGTTCGGTCCCGACCCTGACGCCTGCTGCATAGAGACTGCGTGTCTCTCTCTCTCTCTCATCATCATGACGGTGGTGAGATGTTAACTACCTCGCCTGGTATACAGGAGGTCGCGGGTTCGGTCCCGACCCTGACGCCTGCTGCATAGAGACTGCGTGTCTCTCTCTCTCTCTTATCATGACGGTGGCGAGATGTTAACTGCCTCGCCTGATATACAGGAGGTCGCGGGTTCAGTCCCGACCCTGATGCCTGCTGAAATAGATGGAGACTGCATGTCTATCCCTCTCTCTCTCATCATCATGACGGTGGCGAGATGTTAACTGCCTCGCCTGGTATACAGGAGGTCGTGGGTTCTGTCCCGACCCTGACACCTGCTGAAATAGATGGAGACTGCGTGTCTCTCCCTCTCTCTCTCTCTCTTATCATCATGACGGTGGTGAGATGTTAACTGCCGCGAAACATTTCCACGCGATAAGCCACTTCGTTGAACTATCATTTGTGGCTTCTGAAAAAGAACTACGTAGCTCAAGTGGGTCTTACCTGGTAAAATAAAATATAGTTTAATTTGTTGAAGATTTAATTGCTTCACAAATAACACAACGATGATGATGATGATATTGAATGATAATTACGATGAATATAATGATTTATGCATGTGTATAGCAGTGCCAAAAAATAACAATGAAATTCCAAAAGTGCATCCGGCACATACAATAAAATTGAAATCCATGCAGATTTGATCGATTTATACACAGTGCATTATAATGCAATGCACTGCGAAACAATCATGACTGATATACTAGTGGCCCACAATGCATTGTAATACAATACAATACAATCATGATTTGTTGACCACCAAAGCAAGCAAAAGCATTACAATTCACGCGTAAATATCTGGACAAACACTCAATTACGATTCAACACGCAACAATAAAACTATATGTACAGCGCAGTACGACACATGTGCCGCAATGTATGTGTGTATGTTGCACTTCTTTCGCACCGTACGTAGCCAACCGTCGTGCAAGTCGGAGGTGCGGGGGAAGGACAACAAACTAAACACAAAAGGCAGTTCTAAAGAAATTAGTTTTCCATTTAATTGAAAACACGATAATGCATTGCATTATCGTACACAAAATAAAACACACAAAATGCCAAACATGACGAAGGACCGTTCTATAATTGCATCCCTAACTCTATTAAAGCAACGCGATACAACGAATGGGATGCAATTAAATTAAGACGCCACATTTGCAGAGGTACTTCTATTGAAAAGCACGTAAAACTTATTTCCAGTGCTCCATCAAAACCGAGAGTGCTTACTTGCAATTAAAAGTACTACATTCATTTCAAGTAATCCAAACAAGCCGAGAAACTTAAAATTTATAACATGCAAACGAGCCGAGAGACTTTGATGTGGCTGCACAGAGCGGCAGGGGATAGCGATCGCAGGCGCAACTCTCTGCCGCCCGCTAATGTACCCCATCGGGAGGAGCCTGGCACAGCGGAGCTGTGTCGGCAAGGTGTGCAGGCGAGAGTTACGAGGCGGAGAACACAGCGGCATCGATTCATAATCAGGAACCCGGCTAGCTTCACACGCAGCCAACAAATGTCTCCACTCTCAACGGGCGCACGGCTGCGTGGGAGGTCGGGAATTATTAACATTTTAGTTTTTTCCCCCCAACCCTGAGTTTTATTCCGATTATATTATCGGGTGCCGTGTCGCGAAATGAAGAAACTCTCATGCAGGGCGTTGCCTAAACAAACCTGTGTTGGGAAACGACCCGTGGAAGGTGATATCATAGAACTACTGCGTTTAATTCACACAATGGTTTGGCTGACAATATCGCCTGCTCAGTGCTACCCAGACTGTGTACACCAGAAGTCATCGGAAGAGATCTCAGCAGTAATTCCGTGACGTTCGCTTCTTTGGGCCGTTCTCAAACACAGAGCGTTGCTGCTCTGGTCTCCCCAGACACTGCAGAGGACACTTCGTCTCATAACATGACGCTGATAGAATTGTGACATGAATATTTCCGTGGGTGGCTGGCTGGGTGGGAGGGTGGGTGGCTGGCTGGCTGGGTGGTTGGGTGGGTAGCTATGTGGGTGGATAACTTGGTGAGTGGGTGGGTTGATGGGTTGGTTGGTGGGATTTGGGTGAGTGGGTGGGTTGGTGGGGTTGGCTTGGTTCGTGGATTGCTAGGTGGGTGGATTGGTGGGTTGGTGGGTGACTGCCCAGTGTGCGAGCACCACTCACCAACGCGGATAACGTGCGCCACGACGTACAGGTCCTGTCTCAGCTCGCTGCTTCCCAGGTCCTGCACGAGAAGCGTACACAACACGGGAAGCGACACATCACGAGAAGCGACACATCACGAGAAGCGACACATCACGAGAAGCGACACATCACGGGAAGCAACACATCACGGGAAGCGACACATCACGAGAAGCGAGCGCGTGTGCTCGTGCTCGTGCTCCCGCTGAGGACGACGGGCATCCTCAACGGCAACGGCTGTGGCCTCACAGCGGCAGCAGCGGTACCAGCGGCGGTGGCGGCGGTGGCGACAGCAGCAGCAGGTCGCACGGCGAGCGGCCAGCGGCGTTTACTCCGAGCTGGGGTCACGAGGGTCGGCTCTGCGATTGTGAACGCCCGTTTCAGGCGCCTTAAAATCACCACGTGGCTCTTCACTTGGGCACGGTGTAACAAACTAGGGCCAAGGGGATATCAGCTGGGGTCCACGCAGCCAAACGTATTCCGATGGTTGATGAAATTAGATGTAAGATAATCACTACCGTTTCGTTGCATATTCACCTACGAGGCCGTCGTGGCAATGAAAGCTCTCGAATGAGTGAGTGCCTTGCTTGGGACGTTCAACAAGCTCCGTCAAAGAGCCATTATACCCCAAAAGAAAGATGTACCCGGAGAAAACCCAAGCAGGCCCAGGAAGATCTTTCAAAAAAACCACACCTACTTGCTGTACCCGCCACCTACAGGCGAGCATCACACACGTCGGTGGCTTCATCACTGCGTGATCCGCCGACCCTACTTCGACGTTGCTGTGGCCGACGGATGTGCTCCCTCCACACGACTCTAACCGGTGTGCCTGATAACCGGGTGACGCTTTCACCGCGCGACTGCGATTACGCGGCGAGCACCGCCCTGGCTATAAATTACGATGTGCGACTCTTCCCGTGACAATGATTGGCGTTGCTGCGATTGATGAAGTGTTGATTGGAAATATTATTACACAACCGAGGGCCGTCGAGGTTTTGTTCAATGGTATCGCTCAGGTTAATTTGCGCTTAAACTCTCCAGCATGCCTGGAGTGCGATTACTCCACACCTCCTTTTGTTTGTTGTTGCCAGGGTTGTCAGCCACCCTTCGAGAGCTGGGGAAAGTGTTCACACGCAGAAAGGCTGCTTATGTAACATTTCCGGTCTCACACAGACAGGTATGGGCTCAGTTGATGCCCACTGCGTGTCTGTGTGTGTCCGCGTGTTAGTTAGTGCCTTTGTCTTTTGTGTCCAAGTGTGTAGGGGTCATCACGTTGAGCTGCGAGTCTGGCGACCCGAGTTCGATTCCCGCTCCTGGCCAACACCGGTGAACGATTATCTGAATCGGTGCTGGGCCTCCTCTAGGTCGACTCAGCCTCAAATGAGTACCTGGTGCAGTGTGTAAACATCGCCACTGGGGACGCAAAGACGGCCGAGCATGCTGCTGGCCACCCACCCCCTCGTGTCCCATGCTGGCCTTCATAGGTGCTCGCTAACAGCACCTGCCCCAACAGTCTATTAAAGGCGATACGGGAAATCTTTGTGCTTCCGTGAGTGTGTGGGAGATATCGTTCGCAAGAGTGGGCCATCGAGTGCCGGCGTCCTCTACTATAAAAGCCCAGCGTTCCGTTTGTCCGTCAACTAAATTATAAGAGCCTTTCAGAAGGCCTGAATCAAAAAGTTCTAGAAAGTAGACCCCCTCTGTCCGGATGTGGGGGATAAAAATTTGATCCAACAGGTTTACAACAATTGTCGACCCCCCTCCCCCCCAAAGAAATGTATTTTGTAGGAATATATGCCTACACACCCTACATACAATAGAGAAATTCTAGCGGTTCAAATTTGCCAGATTTGAAATATTACCTGCAAATCACTCAATTGGGACTATCCAGTACAGCGTAATCGTTGCCGCCTACTGCCTGGAACTTGGCAGCGCCCTCCTGGAAAAGAGCCACGAGACTCAGCGAGGCTCTCCTGGGTGAAGAGGTCTACAGACGCCGCATGGCAGGATCTCTGACTCCCCGCGTGCCAAAGCCATGGCGCTGTCTGCACGGCGCCCGTTCCTGTCACACGTCAGAATTTGTTGTGCAGCGCCGAGCCGAGTTGACATTAAGCCAAATTAAATCCACACGGCTGCACGGATCACTCCGGCACCCCACGAACCGCACTGCCTGCGTCGACCCCAGACTTCACCCGACTCGCGCTGCCAATTATTATAGCCACACACAACTGGCAGCAGCAATCGCCGCAGCAGCAGCTGTAGCAACAACAACAACAACCGCCATTCGCCACTAAGTGGCGGTGATGTCACCACGGCGCTTGTGCCAGGCTATGTGCACGTTAAGGCTACACGTGAAGTGTCAAAACAAGCTTCGTTCTATATTTTTTCACGTGGTTTAGTGGTAGACAATTGAAGGTGGAGGGGTTACCAGACCCTCGCACCCATCCAGCTGTAGCAGCAGCAGTAGCAGCCACAGCAGGGAACAGAAGCAGCAGCTTCCGCAGCAGCAGTAGTAGCAGCAGCAGCAACAACAGCTACAGCAGCCACAGCAGCAGTAGCCGCAGCACTACCGCTGCTGCTGATGGAAAATTATAGACACGGGGCGGGGGGTCACAGGGGGTCACGTTGGGTGCAGACAATTTCCAGGTCGACTCGAGCCACACAACGAACTCCCAATCACTTGGGCTGCTGCTCTACCGCAGTCTTAGTTGAGAGACTAGAATACCTGAGTTCACAAAGACTAGCATGATGAATCCCTCCAAGCCACTCCGCTCGCTCCCATATCTGACTGGCTGTTCGTGCGTGCATCACCACTCATTTCATCATCTTCCCAGGCTCACGCTTCTAAAGCCGAGTAACTCGCCATCGTGTGCTTTTCGGAAGCTTATAATCCACGCGCAGAAATATATAATGGACTGCATTGGCAGCGGGGGTACACAATTGCACGCTGACACTGTCACCCAACCGTCACCCACACTGCAACGAAAATATGTAAAATAGGCCAATGTATCTGGATAATTGCCCTTGTATGTATGCATATCGAACTTCTTTCGCACTGTACGTAGCCAACCGGGATAATACTGGTAGGAACCTCCTGGTTACACCAGCCCACAGGGGATTATTGTATCCGTCCGTCCGTCTTGCAGGAAGGGGCTGGGTGGGGAGGGAGGGGCTGGGTGGGAGGGGAGGGTGGGGAGGGGCTGGGTGGAGAGGTTTGGTGGGAAGGGGAGGGTGGGGAGGGGCTGTGTGGGGAGGGTGGGGCTGGGTGGGGGGTGGGAGGGGTGGGGCTGGGTGGGGAGGGGCTGGTCACCCCGTGGTGCCCTTATAAAACTCAACGTTTAACCTACTCACTGCCGGCTTGTGCCCGCCCTCACAGTCGCGCATTTTTGCAGAATACACCATGCCGCCGTTGGCCCTGGCCATTAACCGAGCAACCCAACGTTCCTATCAGCTCCCTCCGCAGGAATGTGTTATAAATGGAGTGGAGAGTAGATCGACTGACTTCACAGTTCGAGATCACAGCCACCATCACCGCCCCATCCACTGTCAGATGAAAGCTTTCCCCCAAGCTGTCGCCATCCCCCAAGTTCACTCGCAAATGTCGCAACCCATGCGGTTCCCACACACCGATCTCAGTTTATTGCTCCATCTCCTCGCGAACGGGTCACCCTCCTTGCTGCGTTGCCGCGTTCCCTCCTTTGGCTACCACTTAGTCTCTTGGTCACCGGCCCTCATTCCTTCAGGCGACGAACTACGTGTGTATGTACGCATGTTGAACTTCTTTCTCACCGTACGTCACCGACCGTTCATAGCCAACTGTGTGGGATTTCACAGTAGGATTTTCATTGCTGGAATTTCACCGTAGGATTTCATTGCTGGGATTTCATTATGATATTTCTATTGCTGGGATTTCACTGAGGGATTTTCATTTCTGGGATTTAATCGTGGGATTTTCATTGCTGGGATTTCACAGAGTGGGTTTTTATTGCTGGGATTTCACCGTGGGATTTTCATTGCTGGGATTTCACAGAGTGGGTTTTTATTGCTGGGATTTCACCGTGGGATTTTCAGTGCTGGGATTTCACCGTGTGATTTTCATTGCTGGGATTTCACCGTGGGATATTTTCATTGCTGGGATTTCACGGTGGGATTTTCAGCGCCAGGATTTTAGAGAGTGGGTTTTTCAGCGCTGGGATTTCACCGTGTGATTTTCAGCGCTGGGGTTTCACCGTGAGATTTTCAGCGCTGGGATTTCACCGTGGGATTTTCATTGCTGGGATTTCACCGTGGGATATTTTCATTTCTGGGATTTCACGGTGGGATTTTCAGCGCCGGGATTTCACAGAGTGGGATTTTCAGCGCTGGGATTTCACCGTGGGATTTTCAGCGCTGGGATTTCACCATGGGATTTTCATTGCTGGGATTTCACCGTGGGATTTTTATTGCTGGGATTTCACCATGGGATTTTCATTGCTGGGATTTCACCGTGGGATTTTCAGCGCTGGGATTTCACCATGGGATTTTCATTGCTGGGATTTCACCGTGGGATTTTCAGCACTGGGATTTCACCATGGGATTTTCATTGCTGGGATTTCACCATGGGATTTTCATTGCTGGGATTTCACCGTGGGATTTTCATTGCTGGGATTTCACCGTGGGATTTTCATTGCTGGGATTTCACCATGGGATTTTCATTGCTGGGATTTCACCGTGGGATTTCACCATGGGATTTTCATTGCTGGGATTTCACCGTGGGATTTTCAGCACTGGGATTTCACCGTGGGATTTTCAGCGCTGGGATTTCACCGTGGGATTTTCATTGCTGGGATTTCACCGTGGGATTTTCAGCGCTGGAATTTCACCGTGAGATTTTCATTGCTGGGATTTCACCGTGGAATATTCATTGCTGGGATTTCACCGTGGGACTTCACTGTGTGATTTTTTTTGCTGGGATTTCACCATGGTGAAGTGCTCTATACAAGCCCACTTCACGTTTCTTAACCGTCAACGTGACATCTCTAATGTGCACGCGTTGTAGGATCCTCGTGTCTTTCTCTGTGTCTCTCACCGCACTTTCCAGCGTGCACCCCTGCTTACTTCTCCACACACTTGTCCGCTCTCTTTTCATATTTTCTTTGTCAATGTCAATGCTTCAGAGCCATGCCAAAAGCAGGCAATTAGGGCTGATTTAAAACTTTCCTTTCAGGAATATTTACAACATTCTTTGCATTATGTTCACTTTTACCAAAGCACTCAAATATTCAACCATTCGCCTACTTTCCTCACTCTGATCCCAGTCTGCCTTTGACAACTGTGCAAGGCATACTCCGGATATCTTTGATAATTAAGAGATATCGTTTGTACGCGACCTTTGTTTTGCTTGCGTTTCTCTCGAGCCTAACTTTGCCGTCTCCTCATTTATAACCTTCAATCATTATTGTGCCCCGAGATTTTTTATTTATAAAATTTTTTTTTACGACGTTATAAAGCTGACGGGCCAACAGTTTGACATTGACGTGTGTGTGCGTGTTTTTTTCAGGAGCAGACTGTCAACAGTAAACATGTCAAAATAAATATATAAAACGGCTTTACAATATAGATTTTTTTGCAACGAGGTGGCGTCAAAAGCAAACGTGGTGGGTTTTTACTTTTTTGTTGTTCCTATGACGTGCGTGTTTCTCATCAAGTTTTACTTAATTTCATTACAATAAGCATAGCAGCTGTTGTTTTTAAAGACATTGTCCTCACCGCAGAGAAATGTAGAAGGCAATGCTGGGAGGGCGTGTCACAGAGTTTGACACCAGCTATCATAGAGTGCGATCGTGTCACTACAGTTCTCTGCGATGAGCACAATGTCTTTAAAACAGCGGCGCTACACCTCTCTGAATAAAATTTACGCCGAACCGCTCGCACGTTCTGCGATTCAGCGTTGGACGGGACACCCACCCTGCAACTTCCAGATGTCTCTGACCGGCAAAGGGTTAAGATGTTTCTCTCAAGACTGTCCAGTAGTATTCATGATGCTCTACGGACACGAGGACAGGGAGACCAGCCTCTGACGGGGGGGCCCCTTCAGAATTCCGGAGTCACATTCCCACGTCTCTGAAGATCCCTGCACGCAGTCGTGGACCGACTACCTCGCCCTCGCACGAATCTCCGCGGGACGGCGACAACTGACGGGGGCCAGACTCTCTGCAGCGACGCTTGAAACCGTCCGTCGGTCCGCCAACACGCGGAAGGCGTGGACGTACAATCCGCCCCCTGCGCCTACCCCCACCCCACTCAAGCCTGCCGGATCGTTTCTCTGGGATCGTTCGCGGTCGCGATCGCCGGCCGCGCCCGCGGCGAGTCGCCGAACGCGCCGCCGGCCGTGTGTGCGGAGACGCCCGTTTGTCGGTGCGCGGGGGCGGTGACTCACGGTGAAGAGGACGCACTGGCGGTCCAGCCGTTCGCAGCACTTGGGCATCCCGTTGCGCTCGATCCGAACGAGGAAGCGCTCGCTACAAGGGGGGGGGGGGTCGGGAAAGGGGGGGGGGGACAACAAGACCGGGAGCTCGTAGATTAGGACGGCGCAGGCGTTCGTCGCTTCTCCCTGCATGGACACGACTTGGGTCAGCGATTAAAGGTCGGCATCTCGGTCGTGGGTCCAGCTGCTGACATACGGGGCGAAACGAGCGGATCGCACTCGTGCCCTCGGAGGACGCATCGGAGATGTTCCCACCGCACGCCGCGGCGATCGCAGTGCCACGGTACTGAGTAGGGATACCGCTGGGATTCGGCTGATGAGTCACGAGCATCACCATTCTACCCGTATCATTCCTGTACCTAAAGTCAGGTCCACAGCTGAGCGCTCTGCAACGCAATAAATGTTTGTGCGACTGCATTGGCAGTGGTCTTTGAGCACAATAAGCAAAAACTCAAAGGAGGGCAATTGTCTGAAACGTCACATTATATTTTGTTCATTGAGGGCAGTGCTATTGACAGAGATGTCTTGAGTTTTAGTTCAGCAACCAAACCGCACTCGAAATCGCGAAATTTACCCACAATGCCACATCCAGAGTGAGTAGTTGCGCAACAAAGATTTTGAACGGCGCATCCATAATTGGACCAACCCCAGTTCGACGAACGTGTCACTCGGTCATGAAACACGTCGATACAATTTTGCCATGCAGATTGATGCTTGGAAGTCGAGTCAAGCCTCTGCTGGGAACAACCATACTCTTTGGTTCTTTTGGTGAAGTCACGTAGGTAGAAATATAATAGAATAAAACAAATCACGACGTTTCGATTGACAACGTCGTGATTTGTTTTATTTTATTTCTACCCACGTGACTTTACAGAAAGAACCAAAGAGGATGGATTCCTGCAGTCACGAAAGCTTCAAATCAAGATGGGAGCAACCAGTTGCACAAACCAGTTCGCAAATAGTTGCAGAGACGTTCACGCTTGGGTGCACACATACAAGTCGTTCTGTCGCATGCAACCGGAACTGCTTGTGTGTACCTGGCCTAAGAATCCCGACGACGAGTCGGGGGGGAGTGGGGGGGGAGTGGGGGGGGGAGTGGGGGGGGGGAGCATACGACGTTGGCGGCTAACCTGATGGTGCGAGCTTCGCGTGAGTCATAGAGCGAGAACAGGACCTCGGCCTCGTCCCCGAACACGTTGCATGTGAAGTTGCGCAACGCCAGCTGTAGGTGGTGCGATGCCGGCGGCCGGGGGCCCTCGGGCCGACGGAGGCGGCTCTCCGACTGCCGGGAATTCCGGTTAGAGGGGAGGGGAGGGGCAAGGGGGGGGAACGGCACACGGTTAAGGAGGTGCCCACAAGTAAACGGTGCGATAGAGAAACCCACGGAGATGGCCCGCGGTGACACCCCAGGTATGAACATCCCATGGTGAAATCCCAGATATGAAAATCCCATGGTAAAATCTCGGCAATGAAAATCACACGGTGAGATCCCAGCAATGAAAATCCCGTGATGAAAATCCCACGAAATCCCAGCGATGGAAATCCCATGATGAAATTATTCTTATGGCAGTACCCCGAGTATACCAAATAATACAAAATTGCCGAGGCAATTAAATATTGTATTTCTGGGACACTATTTTTTCCAGGGGTGTACTTAACTCCGCGACTGGGGTGCCAGTCAATTCGAAATCAGTGCTCCTCCGCGATGTCAAAACGCTGCGAGGACGATTGCGCTGAAACCCTGAAGGCTCGTACGCACTGGAGCGGTGCATCGTGTACAGCTCGTCGAGATGAGTCGATTGCCGCATCGCCGACCATCAACAGGCTAAAAATTGCTGCATCACAGACATTATGCGAGAATCGGGGTACTATGGTACCCCAGGATACCGCCATGAGGTTCAAATCCCAGCAAAAAAAATCCCACAGTGAAATCCCATGGTGAAATCTCAGCAATAAAAATATCCCACGGTGAAATCTCAGCAATGAAAATCCCACGGTGAAATCCCAGCAATCAAAATCCCACGGTGAAATCCCAGCGATGAAAATTCCATAGTGCAATCCCAGCAATGAAATTCCCATGGTGAAATCCCAGCGTTAAAAATCCCACGGTGATATCCCAGCAATGAAAATCCCACGGTGCAATCCCAGCGATGAAAATTCCATGGTGAAATCCCAGCGTTAAAAATCCCACGGTGATATCCCAGCAATGAAAATCCCACGGTGAAATCCCAGCAATGAAAATGCCACGGTGAAATTCCAGCATGGTTGGCTATGTATGGTGCGAAAGAAGTTCAACGAAACATGCATACAATGAAAATACCACGGTGACATGCCAACATTGAAAATTACACAGTGGAATTTTCAACGATTGTACCCACACTGACAGATGCAGATGCCACAAAACACATGAGCACACAAAGCCTGTGTGGTCGCACAAACACGCAAGCTTGCTATCAAAGTGATGGGCTAAAATAAATGATTTCATGGTTACACTCCAAATGTTTTAGTTAAAATAAAAAAATGTACAACTAAAGTCGTGTAGACAACCATTTATTCTGCGTGTCATAAACTGTCATATAATGCTTAGTTATTGACTCTTAAGTTGTGTTAAAGTGCCTTCATAGTGATCCGGTGATGTTTCTGTCATATAATTCTATTCACATCAGTGCCATGCTACAGCATTGTCACGCGTCAGATGTTTCATAAACCAGAAAACAAAATAATTGAAGGTTATGGTCGAGTGTGTAATCATGTCACCCGAGTGACATCACTCCAGTAACCGTTTCTCTACCGTCGATGCAGTGACATCACGAAAGCAGAATCTTGCGTAAGCGCTCGATTGTTTACGCGGAAAAAATATTATTACCACTACGCAAATGCGCGCACTGATGCGTGAACGGACACACACCCAATGGCAAGCCCGAGAGAATCACCGCTCTTTGTTCCTGAACACAGAACGCCACAGCATTCCACGACAAAGCGAAAGCACATGGGGGGGGGGGGGGGGGTGGAAAGGGCATGCACAGAATGAAACCGTGCTCGCGGTTAGCGATGGAACAGGAACGGCACAGCCGGCGTGTTGACGACAACATACCCGGCCGACACAGTTGCGCACGCGGCACCGATTGGGAGCATGCTTGTGCGCGAGCAGGCATGCCCGTCGGGGGACCGTGGAGGGAGGGAGGGAGGAGAGAAGAAAGGAGAGGTCATCCCGAGGGACACGCAAACAGCGAACGTGTCGCGCGATGACAACAGCAGCGGCGGCTGGCGGCGGCGGTGTGACACTGACAGGGCCATCGTAGCTCGCGCGGGGAGGACACGGTGGGCGTTTAATCCCGTCGTGTTTGGACGGCTCCCGCTTGCGCCTGGACCGCGCCGGTGCTGCGTATTTCCACCCCCCTGATTTTAAGAGCGACCCATGGGGATCGTCTCGTCTGAGTATTAATGGATTCTCACGGGCATGGCTCGTCGTACGTATCGCGAGCGTAAGAATCGAGTTTAATCGACGAGTGGGTTAACCGTTACACTCCCGAGGAGGCTGTACGTCTCTGCTTTCTTTGCAGTTTTTTTATGTCATTATGCGTACACGTGTACACGATGGCAACCCTCCTGTGTATCCCCCTGCCAGAGGAGTACCTCTCCGTTCGATCGTAACTGTGCCAGTGCACGCGGGTGAAGGCGGGCAGCATAGAAGTAAGGTACAACCACAACGGATTTTGCCGCGCCGTCCTCTGTTAGCGCTCTTACGCAGCAGTCGCACCGCCGCCGCCACCACCATCTCTTGCATTTCGAGGGAATTCATCGGCGGAGCTTCTTGCATGCGGCACCATAAAATTGAAATCGGCGACACGGGAATTCGACCACTTGCAGGCGCGTGGTGACGGCGTGGTGCCCTCGCTCACGGCACGCGCCTGACGACCGTGCCTGGAACGCGCGCGCGCGCACGTGGTTAAAACCGCGTGCGCGCGCGTGGTTAAAACTGCGTGCGTTCCGGGCAGCTGATCGATGCCACGGAGCACACGCACACAAAGACAAAGATCCCCCGTATAGCCTTAACAGACTGTAGGGGCAAGTGCTGTTAGCGAGCACCTATGAAGGCCGGAACGGTACACGAGGGGGTGGGTGGCCAGCACCACGCCCGACCGCCTTTGTCTCCCCAGTGGCGATGTTTACACACCACACCAGGTACTCATGTCAGGCTGAGTCGACCTAGGAGAGGCCCAGGACCGGTTCAGATAATCGTCACTGGTGTTGGCCGTGAGCGGGAATCGAACCCGGGTGGCCAGGTTCATAGCGCAGCGCACTAACCGCTACACTACCGCACACACATACACACAGAGGCACACACACACGCGCACACACACGGACACACACACGCAAGAGGGTTTTCCAAAAATATCGGTTTGACCGAGATCCACCGTTGCCTGCAGTGTTAGTAAAGCATAATACAGTACAGTATATACAAAAGATAAAGACCCCCCCCCCACGTTATAGCCTCTAACAGACTGTTGAGGCAAGTGCTGTTAGCGAGTAGCACCTACGAAGGCCGACACGGCAAACGAGGGGGGGTGGGTGGGTGGCCAGCACCACGCTCGGCCGCCTTTGCCTCCCTAGTGACGATGCTTACACGTCGGACCAGGTACTCATTTGAGGCCGAGGCGACCTCAGGGAGGGCCCAGGACCGGTTCAAATAATCGTCACTAACCGCGACACCACACACATGCGCGCACGTGCACACGCGAGCATTAAAACCAGAAGCCGAGGAGGAAATGCAAAGAGGGGGGTAACGCAGTGGCAAACAAGCTCGTGAGATGTTCACGAAAAAAACCGCAGAGTTCCATCTTCTCTATATTTAAAAAAAATATCTCACCCGCTGTGTGTGTGCGCGAAGGGAGGCTGAATAATATCACGCAAGAAGGACAAAAAAAACCCACCCGAAAACCAAGGCTTCGTTTCCATATCGAATTATGAATATAATCAAAAGTAGGTCGTTTGACGGTTCGCTCTTGTGACTGCCGAGATGGCACAGGCCACAGTCAGGGCAGCTGGCGGTATAGCGGCACCAGCATGTGTGGCTGGCAGCCAAAAAAGACCTTTGTAAAATGTGCAAGCGCAAACAGAAAGAGAAAACAAAACGCACCACGCAACAGGGCATAATCGCTACCGTATTTTCAAATCCTTATGCTCCGCTGCTTCGACTAAGAGCCACTTGTGCCAGCGAGAAGAATAAAATATAGAGACATCTATGAACGTGCATTTGCGAGTCCCCTTCTTGTGAATAAAATTACGGATGTAGCGGAAGCGGCGGCAGCGAAGAAACGTGATGCTTGCGAGAGAAAAGATTAACTAACAGCCGGCTTCAGCCGCCTAACAAACCGCACTGGTTAATTAAGCCGTATGCAAATGAGTTAAACAAATAAACACCCAAAAGATATAGCAAATAAACCATCATCATTCTTAACTTTAAATTAAACTTTTAATAAATAGCCAACACAACGAATACATAAATTTGCATGTTTTTTTTTCAATCATAATTTTTGAACATTAAGGTGAGTAATTACGACAGCGGCTGAAGTGTGTAACCATTTATATTCCGCCTACAAACAATTCGCCCAGGACGCGGCCAGATCCTGCTAAGATTTGGGAAGCTAAGCGGTGTTGAGCCCGATTAGTTCTGGGGTGGGAACACTGCCAGGGAACGCTCCGCGTGATAATCTTGAAGCTGTGAAGAGGCCAAAGCCAACGGAGTCTTGTGTCCATCTGTATGGAGTTGCGAGTGTTATGCACCATTGGGGTAACCGTGGTTTCATCCCACGGGAACTAACGGCACCAAGTAGTGGCAGTGGCCAAACATTCCAATGCGGGGCCATCGTGAAAGTCTTGTCGCTCAGTGAGGCTTTTCCTGGATAAATAAAGGGCACTGTTAACATTATTTATAAAGTGGTAAGAGGCCCTGTGAGACACAAGGGCACTTATCAGCATCTCTCACAACGTTGTCACAGCCTGCGTTGAATAATGGCCTCCCCGGTCCACACTGACGCTACTTGCCAATGTTAAACATATTTAAACGCGTATCGCCTGTATCATAAGTTGTCATTTCGACGTATGTGTTTTTAAAAACCGTTTTGCACTTTCACGCTGCATCAGGTGTCGTATTCGCGCGCCGTGCGTGCGCTTTGCTCGCACGGATCTCGTTTGAATGTGACGGCTGTGATTGAAGTGGGCTGTCACCTGCTCATGACTGAAGCGTTCTGTCTGCCTGCCTGGTTGCCCAAGGACACAAACATCGTAACAAAGCTCCCACCTTGGGATGCTCCGAATATTTAATAATAATCCAAATGTATTTCTACACAGCGCCTCTCATCGGAAGATCACAAAGCACCGGTACGTGCGAACATTTCAAAATACTTCCATCGAAAACGTCAATCGGGGTGGAATCCAAAGATGTGAAAAACAAAAAACGAAAAAGGTGCGGCGAAAAGACGTGAATGAAAACGGAACGCTCCGAGCCACTGGGTCTAGGCGCTCCCAAAAATTACGGGATGGACAGACGCGAGTTTTCAGTCGTGCCTCAAGAACATCAACAACGGCCCCGCCGGCTCGCGGATTGATATCACGGTGGAGGAGGGAGGTCAACAGGTCGTGGTGGGTGGGGGAGGAATCAGAAGCTGCACTGCAGAAGAAGTTTCCGGGCCCCCTCAGGATGACAAGCAGAGGCATCCCGTGGAGCACAGGTTTGTGAGGTGGAACACACATCCATAAGAGTTTTTCGGTTAGATCGTGTAAATATATAAATGTGTCGTTAAAACCCGCCACCACCCGACACAGCCAACTAGCAAGGGTTGTCACGTAAACAGAACATGCCAATTCGTCACTAGTACAGCACACCGGTGTGTTGGAGAGCCAAGCCACAACATTTACAATCCAACGCACCGGTGCGCTGTACTAGTGAAGAATTGGCCACGTTCTGTTCACGTGACAAACCTTACTAGTTGGCTGTGTCGGGTGGCGGCGTGTTTAATGACGCATTTATATATTTACGCGATCGAACCCAAAAACCTCTATTACAGGTGATATTGGTCGCGAGAGCCTACGTGTTAAACTGTAACACACAGAGTGATGCCAAACATGTCCCAAACATGTGGATGGGTGCTAGACTCCACTCACTCGCCCTTTCAAAGTACCACCTGTCGTTGTGGGTCTTGCAATGGGATATCGAGCCATCTCAGAACACACAGAGCCACAGTGGACGCAGGTCATCCTTGACCTTCGCATCCCACAACAATCCCGCTGTGCAAGGCGTAAATTCAATCAAGCGCCATCCAGGCTCAACCCGTGCTTAGCTTCCAAGACCAGGCACACGATCACGCGCATTCAGGGCGATTTCACAAATCGTCCCCACAAAGTGAACTGATCAGACGATCGCCCACGTACTGAACTCCTGCCGTGAGAGATGCATTCCCGACGGCATGGCGACCGCTCACTCTGCCTCACCTGAAGCCGGTGAACGGATCGCTAGCCTGGACATCGAGCTAGAAATGCTTCCCCTATGAGGAGGGAGGGGGGTGATTTGGTCATCGGAGTTTCCCCCCCCCTCCCCCTTTAAAACGAACACCGTGATGTCACGACGTACCCAAACGTGCGATGAAATGATCGTACGTCCGTACAACGTTCAACGGCACCCCACACGTGACAGGGTCACCGCAAGCCTGCGCCATTATTCTACCGTGAAGCCTCTCTGCGCTGAGACTCAACTGAAACGATCTGCGTGTGTAAAAAAATAAAGCAATGGCAGTGCAAAAAATTTGCTATCCCTGATTATATTGAATGGGCGCGGGGGGTTAGTGAGGATACAATACCCGCCACCTACGCTCACAAAAAAAAAAAAGAGAAAACGCATCTCAATTCCAAATCGTGCAAAAGGCGAAATTGGGCTGCGTTTATCGAACAACGGCTTCGGTTGTGCACGGCGCTACGGCGGCTGAATTCCACATTCAGTCAATCCCAATCAAGCGTGGCTTCGAAGACGCGCTTTTGTTTTGCTCAGTCGAGGGATTCGGGGGGGGTAAAAAAAGAGAGCGGTTAACACGCGTTAATTTTGTGAACGAGATTCGAAGTGATTTTCCCGCCGCTCCA